TTTATAAGAAAAAACATACTTATTTTTTCTTTCTGTTTTGCACTGGCTAATCACTCACAACAAACCACTTTTTCTTTTCATATCTGCCACCAACATTTCCTCGTATAACTGGAGCAATGTCTCGCTGCGCTGTAATGGTGAGATCATTGTAGCCAAATTCATAGGCACTAGGATTATCTGCTCGTCGTCCTTTGGAACGCTGGTGTCCAAAGTAATCCTCCAGTACATCCTGCATAAACCTTTCACTCAGGACATACTTGAACCCATTTTCCAGAAGAAACTTGATGGCCTCAACATGGGAAAAGACAGAAATCTTCAGACCTTCGTACGTTTGCATGGATAAGAACATCTTTCCTCTTGCATCATCAGAGAAGTCGCCTTCCCTTTCATGAGTGGATGCCTTCCAACTCTCCAGGTACTGAAGAAAAACATCAACCAACCATCCAAACCGATCATCATCAGCAGAAGTGTAGGGCTTGATGAATTCATTCCTTTTTTTGACATGGTCAGTAAGAGATCTTACATTGGTGCAATAAAAAAGATCGTTCATCATTCGACAAAATTGTGCATTCCCCAAAACATCACTGTTTCCGCTTTCTCCGATGCTATTGCAACCGACCGACTGAGAACCTGAGTTGCCAATCTCACCTTCATCTTGCTGTAGCTCGTTAGCGTAATGTGATCCAATGTCAATTTTGGAAGCACACGGAGACCAACTGCTTGATCCTGATAAAAAAGATCTGCTATGTGACTAAATAGAAGATATTTGCCATTGTTCTACATGTATCGACGGTGTGACCCTGATCCTGAATTATACAAGCAGTTTCGAGCTGTCTTCAGTAAATGTGGAGAATCTGCGAAGAAGTAGACAAAACGTGATGTTGCAAAAAGATTTAAAGTCTTATATACAACATCACATTCATCTTCACCAGCCAACGTGCTATGGAGATTAAATAATTTGCGATTTGGTGAAGCACCATCATTGACCAGACCAATCACCCAAAGATCCAGTGACAGCTCCAATGTTGACACAACTTTCCAGAAAATGGGCATTAGCTGGTATGAAGTGACATTCCCTGTAAAGTAATAGGCAATGATATGTTTCTTATCAGTGGCTAAACCTCTAACAAGAAATGCCAATGCATGAGTGACAACGCTATCTTCCTTATCCAGACAGGCATAATTTGTCATAGGATCACCAAGATCAATAAACCCAATCAGATCACCAGAATGCTTGTCATATACAAGATTTGATTGGATCTTCATCTCATCCATGACCAGTACGACGTATCGTTGAATTCCGCTAAATGATTTCACCATGTTTCGCTAAGATTCTACATTTTCTGCGTTTACTCTACCCTGGCCCAGACGTTTTTTTTAGGTTTGCCGAATGCGAAATGTGAGAAAACGCGCGAAGAAAAAGGAAATACCTCTGGTGAATTTGTTAGCGATTCCTGGTTCGGATAAAGAATGCAAAAAATGTATAATGGCTTAATGCATCATATTCTAAAAATATTATCCAATCATTATCCTTGACGCCAGGCCGTCTAGACAGGGTTTTATCGCATGTTTACTGTCCAGTGTATGCCTGCCCATTTGTAGCAATATTCATTCTCCTGAATTTCATTCAATTTAAAACATCACATCTATTCAATTTAATATAAATATATATTTATATTCATTCACTTTAATCTTGCAATATACATTCAATTTAATTCTGCAATATACATCCAAGAAAATGTGTATTTTATAAATTTATTAAACACACCTCTTTGGGCCGACGTGAACTTTGTCTGTTAATACAAAAGCAAGCAAATTTGTCTTGTAGATTTCAAATGAAACCATTCCTCTCCATTTCGCATTTCGAATAATAGACTCGGGATTACAAAATGCGAATGTAAACTCCCCATCTAGTATTGCTTTCTCGTCCTCTTCGTTTGACAGTGAAGTAACACGGCATCCACGCTTTCTTAGTTCACGGACGTGAGAGTCAATGAAAGAGTTCAATTTGCAAATTACTATTAAGATGGGTTTCTCCAGAACAATGGAGCTTTTGCCAAGTCGTCGTTCTACTCTCGGTGTTAGAAATTTGGAATATTAAACTCTTCCCATAACCGATAGCAAGATGCAAATACATTTTTAATGTGAATCAAATTGGACAAGGCGCGGTATTGATGCTCCGTTAAACATTTAATTCAGGAAATTTATCAATCTATCTATTAATGCAGCCTATAAAACTGCTTCTTTCAACTTTTGTTCGTTTATTTAATAATATAGACATTTCAAAATTCGAACGTTTCAAATCAATCAAAACACGAAACGCCTGCGAACAGGCTATGATGTTTACAATATCCAATCAGAACACGTAGTCTATCGAACCTATAGTCAGCAGCCAATCAATTCTTTGCTTCCATTTTTGAAAGTTATGTGTGGAATGTGAACCCAAAAACTAGGCCAATTTCACCAGAGGGTTATTCAAAACAGGCGAAAATAAATACACTCTGGTTCCAGGGTACGTTTACCCCTGCTTTTGGAGAGATATAATTTTTATAATCTCTCAAAACTCTATCACTGGGTAATACCAAGGCACCACTTTCTCTGAGCTCTCTATAGGCAGATGGTGATTTACCATGAACAGATAAAGCAAACCGAATAATTTGTGGGTGATATCTTCGTCCACAACTAGAAGATTGCAAAAGCTTCATCTGCTCTTGCCAGAAGAATTTCATGTGTGGAGTACTATCTAGATTTTGTCCATACATTATCTTCAGAATGTCCTCCTCCAGAGTCTTATCAATGGATACGCCTTGACTGGTAATCTTGTTTTGGAGTTCTTGCAGTTCTCCTTCAAGTAATTTGCACTTCGACCTTGCAGCGACCACAGTTGCTCGTAACTTGTCAGGTCCACATGCTGAAAGAGGAGACTCACTCTTTGCTGGGGATGTTTTAGCTCTCATTTTGTTTGTCTTCTTTAGTTGTTTGGTGATAGTCGAGCATGGATCACAGAGTTCAGAACGTTCTATGATGACGTCACAGTTAGGTGAACGAAAGAAAACAGTTGCTTCAAATTGCTTTGGTGATGGTTTTTTCGGAACAGAGTGTCGAATAACTGTTCGAGGAATAGCAATGGTTATGTCAGTGTTCGGATCAATAGCAGCATTTTTTGTTTGATGATCTTCAGGCACACCTTCACATAGCTTGCTTTTCTCTATTGTTGACAACACCTCTCGAAACTGTTCACCACTTTTGATAGAACGTTTATGTTCGTTGTAGATATTGTGGTCATCAGGTATTGGCCAATTAAAAGCATATGCCGTAAACTCCATTGAACAAGAATCCACAACAACTGTATATTTGGCAACTCCATGGACATTGTCAGTCAGAAAAAAAATGACATTGCCATCATCACACACTTCACTTTTCCATTCCAATAATGTATCATCGTCAAGTTGATTAATTAAATCATCTGAACACAATCCTGGCTCTAAATATGAATGGGAGGAAGATGGTATATCCTCTTGTAGCTCTTGTCTTGGTGCCTTCTCAATAACTCTTCTTGGTCTCATGGGATCTTAATGGCAGGTTCTCTGTGGGGATACTGCCAGTTTAAAGGTTTAAAGGATTTTTCTTGAGTTTGGCTTATCAGGATCTGCAAATGGTTATAATTAGTACACAAGTACAAAAACCATGACCAGCCGACAATTTTAAAAAATAAAGTAAAAAGCAATTTCCAAATTCGGAATTTGCTTTTTACTTTATTTTTAGTACACAAGTAGTTGTGTTCTCTATAGATATTAGTACATTTATTGAATATAAGAGCATAAATTCCATACATTGTAATGCATAATAGAACTTCAAAACTGATAGAGTCGATATTTCAAAATAGCACAAAATCTTAATCAAAACTGCTAGTGTCAAGCTAGTGAATCAAAATAATCTTAATCCAAGTCGCTTTCACCATACGGTATTAAAATATAAAGTTTTAACAAAATAAAATCTTTTGTGGGTGCTAAAACAGCTACATGTACTTGCCACTTCATATATAGTAAAAAACACACGAACTTTACATACTTCAAAAATGGTGCAGATAAAATATTAGATATCCAACTGGGCAGTAAATATAAACGACGGATGGAATTAGAGCATGAAGCCTGGCAGGGTGCCAAACACACAAATATCAGTATAGCACTAACAATCCTTATAAACTTAGTTGAGATTATATTTTGTGGGTACGTTTATAGTCTAAAACCGTGGTTGTTTTCACGTATATAAATATGCATACAGTGGAAAAAAGATCGGCAGAAACCTATTATAAACATTAAAACATACATAACTTGATGGTTTCACATGGCTTCGGCTCCATATTAAAAAAGCGGCCAAGGTTGTATGAATCTCGACAGCCTAAAAGATAAAAATATAGCCGCTTCTCGACATTTCGAGCAAAGGACGAAAATTTGCTTGAAACGGAGAGATTCGAGGATTTGTAATTTGATGCACACTATCAGTCACGTGACACTCTCAACATTGGATCAAAAACATATGCCGAAACTCCGCCCACTATCCAAACCATCTCATTCTATTAACTGTGAGAAAACTAAATCTACAATCTTCGCCAAAAGTTCGTAGAACGGCAAAACAAATTCGCAACTTTTTAATATACTTGGGTTTTAAAATCATTTTGCACCTCCCCCCGCTCCCCCCAATCAATGTTGCTCTCCCACATTTCTAGTACACCTACAATTTTGTTGTAGAGTAGGTCAGATCATAAATTTACACGAAACGGCAACATTTAATGGGGGAGGGGGAAGGGGGGAGACCTTAAAAAGGTATAAAAATTTATCGTCGTTCTACGGTTTATGGCCAAGATTGTCTGAAAATTGCTACATGTTCATTTCCACGTAAAATACATTTAACCTTGTACAAGACACTTGTGCTAATTTATTCTGCATAAAAATATCAAATATGATTGTTATATGTGTTGGCGCCGTGTACTATTTACGTCTTTAGTTAAGGTGGCTCTGCTAAGCTGCTCAAGTTATACTTGCTTTCAAGTTACACATAAGACAATCATGGTCTTACTCTAGTAGAAGTTGTACAATCAAACTATCAAAGTTCAATCGTTTTTTTATAAATAGGACCATACTGCTATGAAATATCTGTTTTTAAATATATATTTCAGTTGTTCATAAAAGAAGGCAATCTATACGATAGTAGATTGAAATTAAGCCAATGTGTTTAGATAATTGAGAATTATTTGCGCAAGTAGGCTAATGTAAACAAGAGAAATTTTCTACTTCATTTTACATGACAAAGAGTAATTGCAAGAGCTTATTGCGATATAATAATGCGCTGCAAATCAATATGTAATTGTTATACGTGGTGGCCGCCGGGCTTTCTGTATTGTGACACTCCGTACGTGACAGTATATACTCAATGAAACAAGAGCTAAGCGAACATATATGAATTTGCGCAAGTAATGTAAACAAGGGATATTTTCACCTTCATTTTACATCAGAAAGAGTAATTGCAAGAGTTTATTGCGATATAATAATACGCTGCAAATCAATATGTAATTGTTAGACGCGCGGGCCGCCGGGCTTTCTGTATCGTGACACTCAGTACTCAGTGACAGTACTCAAAGAAACAAGAGCTAAGCGAACATATATGATTTCACTGTCTGAAATAAAATGTTTTTAAATGTTGGCATAAGTGTCGCAATTCTGTTTGTTGGTATTTTGTAGGAAAATTGGGCCTTTGGAAAGGACAATCACAGTACTCGCCATAACAGGAGTTAAGACAATGTCTATATCTCATATTAAGTTTGGAGGTTTTAATGAGTAATGTCAATTATTGCTTCAAATCTACAATTTGTTTTACCTATTTGCCATGAGATTGTAAGGACAGTAACAACGAACAAAATGTTGTGTATATTTTATGTATTTATTTACAATCCAACGAAAAATTAAGCAATTACTGTGAGTACTGTTCATGAGTACTGTCAGTTAGTTATTAAGCTACTAGAGTTCATTTATATGTATATATAGATTAATATTTTGTCCGATACGGCAACAGACTTAATTATTTGGTCAACATCACATCATAAGTCCAATGTTCAATTGTAAAGCCTGACACGGTCTATGCATGCATGCCTCTACAATGGCATCAGTGTCCGCTCTGCTGTACGTGGCTATAAACACGATTCGTTGTGGCGAACGCGATATATTCCTCATATCTATAATTATGATATGTTGGATCTTACACAGCAAGATTAATTAAAAATTCTATTTGTCAATTGGCGTGTGTAGCTTTAACTGAAAATATGTATACTAAAATATATCTACAATTACGTTGTATCAGTCTGCCTTTATAACCATTACTGTCCGGTTCAAAATAGACATATATGCTATAAGGCCCTACCCAGAAATCCAGTCTCAAATTACAGTATACAATATTTATTAATATCTACCTATCATTCAATATTTAGGAATACCAGAATGACTTTTGAAGGGTTATCCAGTAGTACAAGAACATAAGTACATTTTTGAATATTTCTACAACTGGTGTTCTAAATTTAATACATATATATACAAAGGATTAAAAACATAATTTTCGGACAATCTTGGCCAAAAGTTCGTAGAACGACAAAACAAATTCGCAACTTTTTAATATACTTGGGTTTTAAAATCATTTTGCACCTCCTTCAAAGCCTTCCATTCAATGTTGTTTCTCCCACATTTCTAGTACACGTACAATTTTGTTGTAGTAGGTCAGATCATAAATATTACGAAACGGCAACATTGAATGGGGGGGGGGGGAGGGGGGAGACCTTAAAAATGCATAAAAATTTATGGTCGTTCTACGGTTTATGGCCAAGATTGTAGTTACTACAATACCAAATTTGCAAACTCTAAAAATAGTGCGAACAGCTGGAAAACAATTAACGAATTATTAAACAAAAAGTCCAAAACAACAACTCTCAATGCAATTTCTGTGAATAATAAGGTTGTTACAGGAGATAAAAACATTGCTAATGAAGTCAACAAATATTTTGCTACCATTGGACCAAACTTAGCTGAAAACATCTCTACAACTAACGTTCACCCGTTGAAATACGTGACAGTAGGGACAGCTTTTTTTAACTTCAAAAGCATTAAAAAAGCAAATGTGAAAAGCGTATTAAAGAAATCGAAAGCTACCAAAGCAACAGGCAATGATAATATTACAAATAAGCATCTAAAATTAGCAGGTAACTCTATCACAGAACCATTAATATTCATTTTTAATTCGTCTTTATTTACTAGTATTTTCCCTGATGACATGAAATTTGCAAAAGTTACGCCAATCTTTAAAACCGGAAGTAAAATAGCAAGGAGAAGGAATTCCATATCTCCACAGGGAAAAGCGGGATTGATGAAATGCAATTTAATTGAATTGATGATTACATATTCATATTGTTTTACATATACAAATCCCGCTTTTTTCGGGGGCAGAATTATTTTTAAAAACATGTAAGCAAGCTTGGAAAATCGTTTCACATAACAAATTGCAAAACAAATTTCTATTTTTAAACGTAAACATTAAGAATTGATTTAGTATGAGAAATCGTAAAGTATATTAATAAAAGGCAAGTTTGTTTAAATTGTTTATGTATGACTTTGACTTTGCATTATTATAGACTTCGTTTTTGTTGTTCAAGTCATTCCTGTGCATAGTATGCGAAATTTTCATAGTTAAATTAACTTTTCTAGAACTTCATAATAAAAAGGAAAGCAAATTATTTTCATTAGCGTCCTGCTTGAATTAAATTTGTGCGAGTAATAAGTTGAAGATCATGTTGAAGAGTTTATCGGCAAAAAATCTGTTAATTTCAATTCACATTAAAACGTTTTACGACGAGTTGCGTCTTGAATTTTACAGTAAAACAAAGCCCATAGGAAGCAATATGATATACCAACTTTATATATTTTAGAAATTGATAGTTCTGTAGTTAAAAGTGTCGAAGTTTCATTTATTTTTTGTAGTTTTGTACAAAAATTTTAAAAAAATTTCAAAAAATATCGTGTTGCCATGGCTAACATGACGTGAGCAACGTTAGCCCGTTAGCACTGAACAGTGTTGGCGTAATTTCAAATACTTCATGTTGAAACAATGTTTGGAAAATATAGGCGAAGGGCTATTGCATGCATGTATTTCTAGTTCTGTCCTACATGATACTGCACATACATGGTGGTTGACTATATATACATGTAAAATGTTCCATTGCAATTACATGTTTGCCAGCTAAATCACAGCAATAACTTTCCTTTCTTTTCAACATGTAAAAATAAACAACGTGAGAACTATGTTTCTGTAATACAAATCTATAGCAAAGTGGGGCCTCAACATCGCGATTTGCAAATTTACTTCCGACTTCAACTTTTGCTATGGATTTATGAGATGCGTTATCCACGTCTTAGCACAGATCAGTGGGTTTATTGCACATGTTGACATACCGCAAATATATAATTGTAAATATTACAGCTTTAAGTAAATTGAATATCCCAAAACACCTTATTTAAAGTCTATCCCGAAAAACAGCAGCTGAAATAACCAAATAATATGAAAAATATAAAGTATGACATTAAAACGTAATACAAAGTTGAATGTGCAATTAATGACTGTGTTATTTCTTCTCTTCTCGTTTCATGAAAATGAACAAAATTACATCAGAAGGCGAACGCAAACGGTCTGATAACGAAATCCAACAGGTGAAGGAAAACAACGATAATTGGAAAAAAGTTATACAAAGCCGACAAGATATGAATATTCATCTGGCTACGAATATGCAACACCTTCAAGACGAGAATAACGATCTAACTTTCCAAATCCAATGCTTACCAGAAGAAAGTGTTAAAACAAACAACGAGAACAGCAACAAGGATGCAATCATTCCAGGCCTTCAAGGAGAAATCAATGACTTTCAAACCCCGAACAGAAACTCGCAAATGGTTTCTCAGTGCCATAGACTGAGTTCCTTAACCAAGATGTTGCGACCGCAAGAAGAGAACAGTCACTTAAACAATGAACTTCAGAAACTTCAACAAGACAAAAATAGCATGTCCAATGAAATTCAGCGAATTCGAGAAGAGATGATGAACAGTGAAATGAAAATGCAGCAACTTCTAGAAAAGAGAAAACACATGATCATTAAAATGCAGGAACTTGAACAAGAAAACAAGAGTGGACAAAACGAAGATAAACCTGAACAAAACACCGATAACAGCAACGAAATTCAGAAACTTCGAGAAAAGTGGAATTGCCTGCTGGATACAATGCAGAAATGTCAACAAGAAAACAATAAATTGATCAATGAAATTGAGCGAATTCTGGCCGAGAAAATTAAGATGAATAGCGATATGCAAACCCTTCAACATGAAAAAGACATATTGGAAAACCAAATCCAGGAACTTGATCAATTTGCCCATAGCTTAAGCGAGTACGTTGTCATTCATGTAGCATTGCTGGAAGAGAAGAACGATGACTTGGAAGAAGATATCAAGAAACTTGGACAAGAACACACCAATAAGAATGACGAAATTCAACAGCTTAGACTAGGAAACGCCAGTATGATTGAGGAAATTAAACAACTTCGGCAAGAAAACATCAATACGAATAACGAAATTGAACAAGTTCGACAAGAAAACACCAATAAGAATGACGATGTTGGGCAACTTCAACAACAATGCAGCAATAAGACTAACGAAATTCTGCAACTTCGACAAGAAAACACCAATAAGGTGAACGAAATTCTGCAACTTCATCAAGAAATCACTAATAAGATAAACGAAGTTCGACGGCTTCGACAAGAAAACACCCATAAAAATGGTCAAATTGGACAATTTCGACAACAATACAACGAAAAGAATAACGAATTTCTGCATCTTCAGCAAGAAAACACTAATAAGAATAACGAAATTGAACAACTTCGACAAGGAAACGACAGAAAGAATATCGAAATTCGACAACTCCGACAAGAAAACAGCATCATTACAGAAAGTGGATCGGTAGCAATTTCAATGGAAAAGCTAGGAAAAGGTGCCTATGGCGCTGTTTACATTGGAAACTTTTATGGAACAAAGGTAGCAGTGAAACAATATCACACAGTCATTTTATCCACGTATAATCGGAAAATACTTGAACGTGAAATTAAGATCGCATCACAATGTCGACATCCCAATTTACTACAATTTATATGTGCAACACAGAATGATCAAGACCATTTGGTAATTGTAACAGAACTGATGGATAAGAGTTTACGTGACTTACTTGAGCAATGCGCAGGGGGAGAAAGAACACAGATGGAAAATCAGGAAGTTAAATTAACTTCCTTAGATGTGGCACGTGGTCTCAACTACCTTCATTCGAAAACGCCAAATCCAATTATCCATCGTGATGTTAGCAGTGCCAACGTATTGTTATGGATTGTAAATGGTGCAATAATAAGAGCCAAAATATCAGATTATGGTTCAGCTAATTTCCTACAAGCGTGCAAGACCGCAAATCCAGGAGCACCGGCCTACGCCGCACCTGAAGTCAGGAACGGTCACCAAGACCCAAAGGTAATTATTTATTAAGTAGGGCCTATACTTACAGATGTAGTTGTTGAAAATATTTATCAATTTATGTTGATAAATGTTACATGTTATCTGTCATATATATATATATATATATATATATATATATATATATATATATATATATATATATATATATATATATATATATATATATATATATATATAATTATGTTTCGTTGTTTACAAAAACATTTGGCAGAGTGCTCAATGGATATCCAGAGCATAATTAATTAAGTGCAACGACTCAACAAATTCCACTAGGCATCTTTATTACTATTAGTTTCGATTCGTACCACAAGATGTGCCATTTATCGGATAAATTAGCCTAATTTACGAGGTGTGTAGCTCCGAGTCGGCTATCAGTCATATACAACGAGAGCGAATGGTATAATTGTTTTGTAATATGGTCTAAAGCAATAATTAATTATCCTCTGTTACAATGTCTTGACAATTTGTTCGGCCAAAAACCGCCTGGCCTTGAAAATTTGAAATACTTTTGTTTTACAACTCGAAGACGAAGTGAAAGAAATGGTTTTAGAACCGGTATATCTCACAGAAAAGCTCAGATATATTATACAGATGTTTGGTAGTATAGTAAGTGCTTGTTGACTGCAAATTCATTTGTCTTTCGTTGCAAACTTTTCTGAACAATTTATATTCTCAATGAACATGTTTTTTCGCTGTTGTTTCGGTATTAATTCTTTAAAAAACTTGTATTTAAACTAATTTCTACGTAATAAATGTATTTTGCTAACCTGTCAAATTTTTTTTGAGAGTTTTTCCCTGGGCTATTATGTTTCTCAAAGCGAATATTTTCCTTTTTCTGCTTCGCAAAACTCATGTAGTTTTTGGACCGCCATCTTGTTTTTCGCTACTCGCCGTATATGAGCTGATATACGGCGAGTAATTCAACCAATCAGATTGCAGAACAGCTCATATACGGTGGATGACTATATTATAAATAAATATATATATATATATATATATATATATATATATATATATATATATATATATATATATATATATATATATATATGTACATATAATACACACTGTAGAACATTTTCATCTTAACATATTACAGAGTGCACAATTACACAGTAAATTCCCCAAAACCCGGTCAAATCGGTCTTTCACGAGGGCAAGGGCAGTTCCGCGCGTGACGACTGCCACGCGAATCTCTCGACTATTCTAGCGCCGTCTGAACATCCCGCTCCCAGCACTAAGGCCACGAGGTGAGAACAACTAAAAAATGTCAACTATTTATAGTTCAGTATCGTTAAAAGTTCTAAAGCGGAATCAAGTTATGAATTGTTCTGACTATTGTTTTGCTTCCACATTGTACTTTGGCCACTCTAGTATGGCGGTCCCGTCCAGGGTAGGTTTCCACGATTCTTCCGATATCGTCACCAGCTCTTCACCCGTCCCATCACTGTTACCAATAACTGCATACACGTCTTTTTTCGCAGCCTTCACCATGATCTCAAAGACGCCCCCAAAATGTGGGTCTGCTGTGGGATTAAAATTCCATTTTTTACACTTAACTTGGTTGCGTTTCTCTTGATTTTGTCTTTGTCGAGTTGGCGCACAAGTTATTTCAGCTCATTGACAGCGCCCACGAAATTGATATCATTATCACTCAGCATTTCTTTTGGAATACCCAGTCTCCTTGGAAATCTAGTAAATTCGTTAAGGAAGCTATCTGTGTCCAGGCCCCATGCGACTTCGAGATTTACCGCTCGCGTGGACATGCAAGTAAACACACATAACGAACGCTTGTTCCTCGTTTTGCCTCGTCCTTGTATCGTCTGGAAAGATCCGGCATAATCAACTGCCGCTTGGACAAAGGCGCGATAGGCGAGGCGAAGTTGGTTCAGCGGAATAGGTCCCATAATTTGCGCACCGGCTTTGTTCTTTTTCTTCTTGCACGTGTTGCATTCGTTCTCCCATTCCCGAATTTTCTCCCTCGCTGCTGGGATCCAATATCGTTGGTTTAACTGTGATAGGACAAAGTTTGTACCGGCAGTGTGATTCGACATCTCTAGGGAATGTTTGACTATCAGTTTAGTCACCAGTGTCCCCTTGGCAAGATTATCGGCAATCTGACGCCGTACGGGAGGTGTTCCGCAAATCGTAGTCGACTGTCCGACCGGATCAGTCTTTGTTCATCCAGCTGAGCATTTAGTTTCTGCAACGTACTCTTAGGTGCAATTTGTTTACTGGTCGTTAGCGCTTTGTACTCGTTATTAAGTGCGTCTTGTTGTGCACGACAAATGATACTTTCTTCCGCGTCACGTAACTCTCGGGAAGCTGCTCCTGGTCACCCACCCGTGTCTCCGAATTTCGCGTGCTATGGATAAATCTTCTAACTCTCCCGAGCACGCGTACCAATCGTGTCCAGTTGGAATACCGTTTAGGTTCCAGCCTCCAGACCGTTGACTTCTTGTTTTCTTTCCTGTTTTTGACTGGGCGTTGGTAATTGCAAGCTGTCGCAACCGTTTCACTCTTGGCGCTCTGCTGGTGGGTTTCGCTTTGTGTAATTCGTTAGGACGGGTTCCAATTTGCATCTTTGGCCAGCCCGATTTGTCCTCTAGCAACCACTTTGGTCCATTCCACCATAAACAATGATCTGACAATTCTGAGGTGGTTGCTTCTCCAGCTTGTTCAAAGGTCCGCCGGATTTTCTTCTGTACGCACTTGTTGGCATTGCGCTGGCTCGGTCGACATTTGTATTTCCCCATTGCGGTTTGCGATGAATGACTGAAAATGTCGTCCATGGCCTCTAATCCACCACAAAACATCTGTGCTGTCTGAGTAAAACGTCACCATACTCATCGGTATTTCAAGAATCGGAATGAGACGTTGTGTTAATCGCAAACCTAGTATAGCGCCCAACAACTCTAGCCTTGGAACCGTCATTGGCTTCAACGATGCAATCTTCGTTTTGGATGCGATCATCCGACAGCTAGTGGTATCTTCGTACTCGCACTTTAAGTAGACGACTGCTACATAAGCCTTAGGGAAAGCGTCGACGAACATCATCACAGATTGACTCAGGACTGTCTTAGCCTCACGTAAACACCTTGGTACAAGCACGTTCTTCAGGTCTAACAGCTGTCGAAACCACATATCGATCATATCGGCAACTTCGTCTACGATAACGTCGTCCCAGTCATATCCCCTTGACCACAGCTCTTGTAGAAGGACTTTGGCTATAACCACAAATGGACTGATCAGACCAAGCGGGTTAATTAAAAACTGTTGCAATTTACTTCAATATGCTCCGCAACACTTCTGATAAACACAGGTCGTCGCTGCTATGCCACGAGAGCTCAAGCGGTTTGACGGCTGAAGTTGCGCTGTCACTTATCGATAATTCAGTTGCTCCTTTGGTGTCGATGCGTTGACCGCTGGAGAATTTGAAATCCACTTCCGCGCTTGCATACCGGCTAAGTTCCAAAGATATCTCAGTTGCTGGTATAACTCAATGCTCTCCTCGTCCATCTCCACACTATCAATAGAGTCGTCCATATACGTGGACTTCAGCACTGTCTCAGCCGCCATAGGGTCCGTCTCTGGATGTATTTTAGCGTTTTCTTGGGCCACGAATTGCGATATTCCATCGGCGCAGAGTTTTTCCCAAACACTACACGATTGAATTCGTATAATAAACTTCTGGTTCTCGGTTACTGTCCAGGTCACGCCACAACAGCCAGAAGATGGGACGATCGCACTCTTCGACCTCAACTTAAAGGTACATTTCTCTAACATCGCACGCCACCGCCACTGGTTTGCGACGAAAACGAATAAGTATATCAATCAATTCCTTTTGTCGCTTAGGTCCCGCGTAGATGACATCGTTTAACGCGACTACATTACACTTCGTTCTCGCGAAAGGTTTTACACAGATCTTTTTTAATTCGTTCAATCCCTTGTGGTGTGTGTTGGAATGCTGATAGGCCGTCGTCTCGATAAAGTCCGATGTTCTGGCCGTACTTTTTTGTAAGGATGGACAGGAGATAGCACCCTATCAGCTCACACGTTGCTGCTCCATCGAATGATCCCATGGTTACATCAAATTTGTTGTTTGAATTTTTCTTCTCCCATGGTTTGCCATCCCAAAATAATAGCGACTGTTTTGTGTGTAGGATGATGTCGCGTTCTTGCTTGCTGATGTGTCGGTATTTGCTGCCGAAATCTAATGCTTTATTCAGTAATTTCTCGGTTATGGATGGGTAGAAGTCACAAACGTCAAAAGATATAAACGAGAGCGATCTTTTGTTTTCCAAGTTGTTAAACCATCTCAAAACACTTGATGTGTTTTTCCAATGGTTTATCTGTGTTGCGTTCATAATTGCTGCATTAATTTATTTCGTCGAGGATGTGTTTGCTAATTACACCGATCTCGGATTTGGTGGGGTTAATTAAACGGCATGTAGGATGGTTTTGGAATTCGGGTTTATGGTCTTTAAAAGTTATAAAGGCTTCTTTTCGTGCTAGCACTTCAATTCGGTCATCTAATTTAAGCTTCCTCGATATACTAGCGGCTTTCTTATTGATTTGTTTGACAGTTTTATTAGTTGACTTCTTGTATGTTTTGGTCACATTTTCGGTGATGAGCTTTTGATAACAGGATTTTTGCAATGCGTAAAAATTTGTCGTTTTATCCGCAGGGACAAGTACCGTGTCTTGTTTCTTGATGTAGGTCTTGACATTATAACTTCCTTGTATTATAACTAACTATATATATATATTAAAAATGTTAAAATTGTAACCAGGATTACACATATTATTAAGACTTAGAAAGGTTGACGCTGGTTTGATAAAAACGTTAAAAATTACGTTTATTTAAAAAGATGTTAAGACGGTTTCGACCTGTAACTTAGGTCTTCGTCAGTTAAAAATTTAACAAGGTTCAAAACTGAACAATATATATAGGTTCAGAGTTAATTAGCAGATAAGTGTTTTATACACATCCGGTATTTCGATATGGTCGTTTCCTGCGTTATGATCCTTGAGGGAATACCAAGCCTCTAAGAACAGACGTTCGCGGTAGTTTTTTGTTTTGTTGACAATGGTGGCATTACTGAAGTCAATTCGGTGATCGTATTGTTCAGGATGCTTAGCGATTTTTGAATATTGTTCAAATTGCGAAACAGCTCGTTCGTGTTCGTTTATTCTAGTTTTTAATGCTCTGTCTATTTGACCGTAATATGCAAAGTCACAATCGCAGCAACAGATTTTGTGAATGACTCCGCTTGTCTGCTCGGGTGGTAACTTGTCTTTGGGTTTGGAGAATTGGCGAGAAAGGGTATACTGGTAGGTTTTTAGCACACTTTGATATTTTCTCTCCTTAATACTCGGGAGATTTTTTCTGTAACGCCTTTAACATACGGTAAGACTACAAAGCTAAGAGCGACACAATCAGCGGTGTTTGTCCTGTTGTTGTTGACATCAGTGGTATGCAAATTACCGTTGGTGTTATCAGTATGACGCCGTTTTCTCTTGATGTCGTAAGACTTTATAAACTTAAGTGGGTAACCGTTGTCTCTCAAGTTTTGAACCTAGTTAATTTTTAACTGACGAAGACCTAAGTTACTGGAAAAAAAGTCTTAACATCTTTTTAAAAAAACGTAGTTTTTAATGTTTTTATCAAACCAGCGCCAACCTTTCTACATCTTAATAATATATATATATATATATATATATATATATATATATATATATATATATATATATATATATATATATATATATATATAAATATATATATATATATATATATATATATATATATATATATATATATATATATGTATGGAATATACTTACTTAGATTGACGTCTTCAGCTATGGCATCCTGGTGTGCGAGATTTCCTTGTGTGAGCAACCTGATCAAGTCGAGAGAGAGGGACAAATAGAAACAATTTGGAATGTTGCAGTCAAAGAATTGGTGAAACATTGTACTGAGAAGGATCCGAAACAAAGGCCAACAATGAAGCAGGTCATTGAATGCTGGGAAATCACGGAATAAGGAACCTAGTGTAACTAACTTGGTTTGGCAGTGACATTTCATTGCTCGAATTAACATTCTTTATTGGCAAAATTTCCAGACATCACTCTTACTATTATTCCCTAATTGTACATCGCATGATTACCTATACTTATATCACCTATATCAAATTTAGTCTAGCAATTTTGTGAAATTTTCATAACAATTGTGCGTTTTGTTTATAACAAAACTCCTGGGCAGGCGTAAATTCTGGCTACTGTCCAGGCGGCATAATAGTTGACCTGCACCTAAGAAGCGGATTAATATTCATTTATGCAATGTTCTTTCTTTCCAAATCGAAGATCTGATCGGTTATGTTAGTAAATATATGCTAATGCTAACTATACCGACTTATGAAGCAATTTATATGCAAAATATTTGTTATGATCGATATGGATGCAAATCAAGTTATTGCTCGCCTCTGCAAATTAAATATATATATATATATATATATATATATATATATATATATATATATATATATATATATATATATATATATATATATATATATATATCCGGATTATACAGCCGGAGTATAACTATATTTTGTAAATATATGGTAACTTGAAACAGTAGTGTTTGCCCGGATTGTGTTTGCCATGTATTTTCGGTACGGTTTGGCTGTTTATGCATCCAAATGCATCATCTGGGTTTGTATGTGCGTATGTGCGTATTAGTGTGTGTGTGTATGTGTGTGTGTGTTTGTATGTGAGTGTTTGTATGTGTGTATGTGTGTATGTATGAATATCCAACAAGTTGCAAATTCAAAGCGTTTCTAACTAGCAACATTTCTAACTATTTGGCGCTGCAATTGCAGTGCCAACTAGTCGGAGTTCCAACTAGTCGGTCGATCATCTGAAAATTTCGATGGCATGCTAAGAAGCCTTAAATGTGATGCCAGATATAGTAAAAACGAAAATCGTGAACATGTGCACACGAACATCATATTATATATTTTGTAAACGAAACAAGGCGTGGGATAACCGAAAACTAATGTCAATGTAATCCATCATAAAATAATTATTGTACAACAAATATATGGTATCAATTCAAGTAAACATTGATAAACTACCTGTAAAGCGAGAATTGTACCAACAAGTGAGAATCGCACCCACAAGTCTAGAGCTGAAAGGCGCTTGCTCTGACGACTACGCAGCCCATCGAAGCCACCAACGCCAACGAAGTCATGGCCGTTATTTGTTAATAGAGACAGTTTCTCAATTAAAAATAAGTTGAATTTTTTGTTGCAACTTTAACGAGTCATTTCCACTTATGTCAAATAAACGTATACATGCATGTATACATAGAAACGGAAATAAAATGTATAGGAAAATGCGCCGGGTAAGACAGGTAATACGCGCGGTAAGACTTTCATGGTTCCGGGACAAACAACTGCCAGCGACAATCCATTGAACTGAGATACCCATATATATCCGCTAAAGTGTCCTCGACGATATCTATATACACTGCAAAAAATCAAATTCTAGTCTAGAATAATATTCTTATTTTTTAGATTAATTTCCTTATTTTAAGTAATTATTTCTTATTAAGAAATATTTCAAGAAAATATAACTCGACAAGAATATTCGAGAGATTTTTTTCTTATTTTAAGAATAACATTTTTACAACCTAGAATAATATTCTTATAATTAGAAAAACAGTCTTGAAATGAAGTTTAATATTATTAATCGCATAGTATTAAAACCTTTCTTTGGCCGTTTGGGCAATTTTAGCATGGCTAACACGAAATATGATATTGAATTGAAGAAACGTCGTTCTATTGTATATCTTTCACTTTTTTTGGTCAAATTTGAAGCTGAACGGCTCTGTCCTAAATTGTCGCAGTTTCAACATGGCGGATATCACAATGTCAATGAATACAACATACCGTATGAATTGCTATTGAAAAACAACAATTATGTATGAATTCAAATCATTTGTAACAATTGCCTATCTACACTTGGTATGCGCTGCAAAAATATGATGCGTAAATTTACACAAGATATTTTGCGTAAATATCACCTACAAGTTATGACATGCTATCACATGATGTTCGTCACTTTGAGTGTATATTCATACCGGGCAAGCTTGAGAAATATGCCTGGCCACGGTGGGAATCGAACCTACGACCTTTGGAATACTAGCCCAATGCTCTGATAACTGAGCTACGCAGTCAGACTAACATCAGAGTAACATCACAAACATCATATTCAACTGAGCACATAACACCAACACAGAAAAAAAATCATGATTACAGTATCTATCTAGTATCACATGTTATGACATGCGATACGTTTACAGCAAACCATTAAAATTTTATATTATCACAATTGGCATATAATTTTTTAGAAAATCTATCTATTATTCGCTTATAAGAATTTTCACCATTTTTTTATGATGATTTTTTGGTCAGATTAATGCTTTCACACAGTTTCAAGCTAGCGATAGATTGGGAGAGCTTTTTGGTGTATCTATTTTAGAAGACAAGGTCCACGCGCGCAATGAGTTGTGGGATATCGTGTATCAAATGTCAAGTGCTAGCACAGAATAGATACAGGACCAGAAGTGTCACTCAGACGATATTTTGTCCGAAATTTTACGAGTGCTGACGTGAAAATACGCCATCATATGACGCCATCCAGGAGTGCACAGGGAAGTTTTTCATAGGAAAACATAGGTACAAAGTGTCGGGTGCACTCCAGGATGGCGTCATAGCACGCAAAAAAAATTCGGACGTTTTCCTTCAGCCAAAACACATAGGAGTGACACTTCTGGTCCGGTATCTATTCTGTGGTGCTAGTGTGATGATGCAAATTTTCAGCTTTCACGTTTGAGTATATTTTGATGAAGAAACGCACGAGGAAAAGCTATATTTCTTATTGGATAAGTGATTCTGAAACCTGCCAAAGGCTTATTGATCGCAGGTATGAAATAGTACTGTTTATATCATATAATTATAACGTCCATCGACCCTATTTACTCGTTTTATCTTGTGGCTGTTGGCCTGTTGTGGGCTTGTGGCTGCTAAAATTTCAATTTGCGCGCGAGATTTATGTTGAATTATTTCATTTCAATGCCGTCAAATATTAGTTCAACAATCCAAATTTTGAATAAGCACATAGTGAGAACTTTTACATTTATCTATCAGCAATTACTTTAATAACCTATTCATGTATTGTTGGGTAAATATATTATTTTAAATGTTCTTAATTGTTTTAGTATTGTTTTTATATTTAGGATGACAACAGCAAAAAATCATACCAAGATTATTATTCTAGTTTCATCTTGCCATTCAAGAAAAATATTCATAAAAGCCACACCGGATCGAACTAGAATGATTTTCTTAGGAAGATTTCAATTCAAAATAATTTTTCTAATTTTGTCAAGTGGGTAAGTAAGAGTTTCTTATTAACATTATTTTTCTTATTTCAAGAATACGTTCTAGCAAAATTTTCTTATTACTAGAAAATAATTCTTGGGGAACTAAGAATTTTTTTCTAGAAATAAGAAAATTTTGCTAGAAAGTTTTCTTGAAATAAGAAAAATATTCTTGATAAGAAAATTTTACTTACCCACGGGACAAAATTAGAAAAATTTTCTTACCAAGAATTTTGTTCTAACGAAGAATAATTTTCTTATTTTAAGAATAATTTTCTTATTTTAAGAATAATTTTCTTGAAATGTGATTCTTACGTAGAGTATTTTACTTACCCACGGGACGTTTCTTAAAACAAGTAATTTTGTGCTTAAAATAAGTAATATTTTCTTAAAATAAGAAATTGATTTTTTGCAGTGTAAATAAAGCAGATATGTAGATTTTTTACCTCAAATGTTGCCACAACAGCCGGTATTGTCTTGATTATTCGTCTTGTCGATTCCACTTGATGATAATGATAATAGGATGTCGAATTCCAGTGACGAAACAGATCGGTCAACAAAAACAAAACTCTTCTTGGCCCGACTGAGATTCGAACCCGCAATCTTCGGTCTACTAGTTGGACGCTCTACCAACTGAGCTACAAGTAAAGTTGGCAGTAGGTCTTGGAAATTATGGTATACTTGGGTTTTTGATATTTTAAAACCATACTACAGTTTCTTCGATATCGAGACATTTAACAGAGCCTTCGTGTAGCCCAAAAACTGATAATTGATGAGGGAATTCTAATCGTACTCGGTGGAGAATAATGGTAATAGGGTGTTGAATCCGATTGACGAACCATACCGGTCAAGCAGAAAAAACTCTACCTGGACCGGCTGGAATTTAAATCCGCGCGACCTTGGGTTTACTAGCCCGACGCTCTACCAACTAAGCTACAGGTCAAGTTAGTATAGGTCCTAGAAATGATGGTATACTTGGGTTTTGATATTTCAAAACCATACTAGTTTCTTCGATATCCAAGTAGAGTTTTCTTCGCTTGACCGATATAGCCTGCGAACAGGCTCTTTGAATTGAATTAGAGCCTGCCGATTTAGTCAATAGAAATACATCTGAGCCCATCACTATTTATAGTGTTGTCAATCAAATGTAAAATACAATGAACAAATTAATACAGACACGCCTTATGTAATGACCTGCGAATATATGTGAACATGCGGCAAATCCCGATTTCAACGCACAATTGTTTACAACAAGTCTGTAATGTCAACTTGGAAAGAAACACCAAAAACATTTACAAGCGAAAAAAACGCTGAACATGTGAACGAATTTTACCGTTGTTGCAATGCTTCTTTAAAAGTAACATATGAAGATACATGGAAGTCCGTTTCAATAGTGAACTTGCTCAAGCCAAAAGTAGGGAAAGATAGTTTTGAAGTTCCTTTGCAAAATATCGAGATTGTTTGTGAGAGAGGTCCAGAATGATCTGAAAGATTATGCGGGACATGCCTAAAAATAAAATGCGCATTTTAAATTTGTATTTTCCTTTCTCCAGTCCACGTCTCAATGACGTGAGACTCGTGTATAACAAAATCAACCAAACGATTACGCAAATGACAAATTGAATATTTTAAAGCGTGAACTGAAGACTTGTCAAGAACGTTTTCGGCCAAACCAAATATCAAATGAAATTTCCCCGATTTTATGTCCTCTGTGTTTTGAAATTTCCTCGATTTTATCTCCTCGTCACTAACAACGCAAACCGAGCTCATACCAAGGTTCTTAGCTTCTTTCATTTCTTCCTCTATAATACTAATTAGAGGACAAAGAATAAATGATGATGGCTATAGCGGGTTCTTTTCTTTTTCTCTCCGCAACAAGGTCCGAAAGTTGGAATATTAAGTTTTTGACGCAAATATATATATATATATATATATATATATATATATATATATATATATATATATATATATATATTATAACTTATATATAATATATATATATATTATAACTTATATATACATATATAGCTTAACAAGTCGTTCTCAGCTTGACCTTGTAGCTCAGAAGGTAGAGCATCGTTCTAGAAATGCGAAGGTCGCGGGTTCGAATCCCAGCCGCGGTCAAGTAGAATTTTCTGCTTGCCCGGTTTGGTATACACTCGTCTGAAAACAACTCAAAAACCGCTACATAACGTTACACGAGTGGAATCGTAAACGTGGGAAACCACAACATTCACATACAACATTGCCAGACTAATAGCTGGCTTTACGCATTGAAGGACTAACTTCCGAAATGCAGCTAACATCATAACTTAACACGTCGTTCTCAGCTTGACCTTGTAGCTCAGACGGTAGAGCATCGTTCTAGAAATGCGAAGGTCGCGGGTTCGAATCCCAGCCGCGGTCAAGTAGAATTTTCTGCTTGCCCGGTTTGGTATACATTCGTCTGAAAACAACTCAAAAACCGCTATATATATATATATATATATATATATATATATATATATATATATATATATATATATATATATATATATATATATATATATATATACCGTATATATATATATAATTACGTTTCGTTGTTTGATACAAAGTGCAACAACTCAACAAAATAAGTGCAACGACTCAACAAATTCCACTAGGCATCTTTATAAAGATGCCTAGTGGAATTTGTTGAGTCGTTGCACTTATTTTATATATATATATATATATATATATATATATATATATATATATATATATATATATATATATATATATATATATATATATATATATATATATATATATATATATATATATATATAAATATATATATATATATATATATATATATATTGCAGTCCCTCCTTTTTTCATCTGGAAAAATCTCAAGCCCTTCCAATTTCTCACCCTTTACCCCCCCCCCCCCCTTCCCCGCTCCATAAATAATAAACGGTCGCTAACCGTATTCAGTATACTCGCCAAACTATAATCTATTCTGGTCACTGCATGTAGAATGAATATTAAAGTAATGATAAAACAATCATTGAATTCGGTTATATATAGGGTTTCATAAATTGATAAATCACGATATTTTGCTCAACCTCGTCCAATTATTCAGCTCAAATTGGTTCATACAACTCCTTGAAATTTACAGCGAGAGAAAACATGACTGGTATATACTCGCAGTGAACTCACAAACTTTTAATCTATTCTATATAGCCAACTTCTAGTCACTGCACTAATATCAAAGACATACATACACTCTCCTTTATTCTCGGGAATCGGCTTATTTGTATATATTAGGCTACCATGTCTGCAGGATGCAATGTCTGTAAAGAGTTTCATTATTAAATACGCACTAAATTAAATCCACTAATCCCACTGTAAACCGCTACGTCTACGGCAAAAAATACTTTTTCTGCAAGGCAAGAAATGAATGGTTAAACAGTACTGTCGTGTTGTAAAATAGCCTATATAATATAGCAATTTAATTTTTCATTCAAAACCATCTTCATTCAGCATTGTTTCCCAATCTAAACGATTGTTAATTGAACTCAAATAGCTTCAAATTTGCCATTAACTGACTTTCATTAATCATTGTGCACAAATCCACCACATACTGTCAACATATACTGCATCCGGAATGATAAAAGAACTAATGACTTGATAAATTCGAAATTCACCAGATTATGTATCCTGGCTATTGCCCTTGAACAATTTGCTCTTAGTTCATTCGAGAGCATTTGCACGGTGCAAACCGCAATAAAGATCAACACGACATACATGTATATAGCTTCCCTTCAGTAAAGTGTTTGCCCCGAGAACGAAGGGGACTTTCTTATTTTTACCCCCGATTCCCCATAGATGCTATATAAATGACGAAAAAGATTTTCCTTATAATATATACAGTTACCTGAAACTCAAATTCCGATGTTCTCCAATGAAATTAAAAGTGAAAATCAGCCAAGAAATTTGAGCTTGTTCTGTTCGACAGGCACGTTGTGAATGACTATACAGTACTCTCGTGTTGTGCAATATAAATATAATACAGCAATTTAATTAATTCAAAATCATCTTCCCGTTTAATAAGCAATTTTCTCAATCTAAACTATTGTTTGAGCTCAAAGTTGACATTTGCTGACTTTCATTATACTTAAATTCCGCGATAAGTGACATATCTGTATATGACACAACGAAGTTAAAATAAGCATACATATCAAAACAACAATGAGCCAGCTATTTAACAGTTTATTATTATTCAACTCAAATTTATTCAACTTTTTGCCGGAAATTATAGAGAGCGAAAACATGACTGATATATACCTGCAGTGAACTCACAAACTTTTAATCTATTCTACTTCTAGTCACTGCACTTATATAATTATCAAAGACATGTAATAATGTCATACAATCTCCTTTATTCTCGGGAGCTGGCGTTTATTTGGGACTATGAGTCTATGACTATGTATTTATACGGCCATTCATGTCTGCTTGTTAATCCACACTATAAATCACTATTCACTAGTCTAAAGCCACGACGTACTATAAACTATTACGGCAAAAGCCAAAAAATACTTTTTCTGTATGACAGGCAAGAAATGAATGGTTAAACAGTACTGTCGTGTTGTAAAATATATGATATCAGCAATTTTCATTCAAAATTCAATTTTCACTGTTTCCCAATTAATAATTCAAGCACGTTAGGTGAAAGAACAGCCCGAAAATAAGTTAAACACACACCAAATCATTGTGGGAGAATGGGTTCAGGGTGAAGTGAACCAATTATATACATTATACTCTCAAACTCTGGTCAACCCAAAGACTCATTAAGCCTTATGTTTTCATCCCGCAGGAGTATATATAAGACCTGCTAGGAGAGACTGAATGCTCCATAGGAGCTCTGCCCGAAGGGTAGCGACCCCCTCTGACATAGACCTGAACCAAGGGGTGATAATCCCCTTGGACAGTACCTACGATTCGACTGATTATATTTACATAAATAACCTGAGTCTATGGGCCTGAAGTTGACCATTGGGAACACTTCAACCCCGAACCAAAATTTATTTGTTTGAACATTTAAGTATTTACATAGCGATAATTTTCCATGAGAAAATTGTTCGATAGTCTTTCTTGACAAATTGTTCTTGAACAGTCCTTGCATAACATTAGCTAGTACCCATACAATGCACCAGATACCAGGAACATGAACGGGTGGGTGGGTGGAAATTTTCGTTCTCGGTAACAAGACATTGCTCTTTGTTGGGATATTTGTCAAAGTGAACTCCCTTATCACATTGACCTTTGTTCTGCGTGTTCGTTGTTGACATATGATTGGTCAGTTGATCTTTCATTCGGTTTTACACATGCCCAAAGAAACCTTTGGACTATTGGATATCGCCTTTTTGTGGCTGTTGACAAGCTTATCCTGTTACTATGAGATTATAACCAGGTTTGAAGGTGACAAACGTGTTGTCTCATTAACTTGAATTTATATATTGTTATATATAAATTTGCTTTAATAATTCAAGCACGTTAGGTGAAAGAACAGCCCGAAAATAAGTAAAACACACACCAAATTATTGTGGGAGAATGGGTTCAGGGTGAAGTGAACCAATTATATACATTATACTCTCAAACTCTGGTCAACCCAAAGACTCATTAAGCCTTATGTTTTCATCCCGCAGGCGTATATATAAGACCTGCTAGGAGAGACTGAATGCTCCATAGGAGCTCTGCCCGAAGGGTAGCGACCCCCTCTGACATAGACCTGAACCAAGGGGTGATAATCCCCTTGGACAGTACCTACGATTCGACTGATTATATTTACATAAAAAACCTGAGTCTATGGGCCTGAAGTTGACCATTGGGAACACTTCAACCCCACAAATACACAACATGTGTATTCCCCATAGACGAACTCCCACCACAGCTGTATTTGTATACAAGACAGCTGCTGCCAGATGATAGTTAGACATATATTTGGGCGTTACCATCACTCATACTATAGCTGGATAGTCAGGGAGGCCAGAAAAAACCTGGAATATACAGGAAACCTGGATGGGGCCAAGACAACCAGCAGCTTCCCCACAAAGCTTCTATCTTACAATTTTTTTAATTGGAGGGTTGGTAACACGACAAACAAAGCTCACCATCGAGGCACATTTTATTTATTTATTTTTTTTTTTTTTAAGTTAATGTGTTCGTAAATACGTTTTGCACAACATTTATTTGTTAACCACACTTATTTCAATTATGATCAGTGGAACTTTCTCGAATTATGTGACATTACTCTCAGAAAAATAGCTTATTCATTAATGACTTTAATTCAAAATAGCAAGACCAAAATTTTGCGATCGAACATCAGATCATGCATGCATGATATTAGCAGAAAGAAATTGTAAGAATATGTATGTGGTAGTCAAAATAGATTATATGCAGTAAATAGTAGTACATCAAAGGATTTTCAATTTTCAAAAGCGTAGGCATACATGGTATCGTACTAATCTTTCCTGATATCCATCTTGCCGATTTATCGCAAATATGCATAAACATATATCACGTGCAGAGTTTTAAGTCTCAAATTTCGTTCACAAATGAGCTTGCTTTCTTAAGTTTTGAACAGTAAAGTATTGAAAATGTATGCAGGTCAAATTAATTTTGTGAAATAGCTGAAACAGAAGTTTTATAATTCTACTTTTGAGCGATTGAATACAGTTTAATGTAAGGCCTGATTGAAACCCAATCCAACGCCAAATCTGAGGCGTAATCTGAAGCCTTTAATCTGCGGCTAATCTCAAGGTAGTAATAAAATTGTCATTGGAATTTTTGATCGACAAATATAAATACACCAGAATCACGGAATGTTGTTATAAAATAGACGAATTTTAATACATTTTGGTTGGTTTGAGATGCGGAATACGAAACAAACGTGTCAATGCACCGCATACTTACGCGCCGAATACCGCTTCACTTTAGGAAGCATGTGCATTGAAACATGGAATGATATCAATTGAACGCTTGTTGATTTCGTGTTTAGCTGCTTTAGCGTATCGATCTTGTTGTTATTCCCCCAGCGGCGGTTTCATTTAATGGTAATAACTTCGTCGGGACTTGGGCCAACGTATTCCTTTGTCCACCAGAAGAGTAAGCGCTTGTCCGGTAGAGTTCTATTTGAATAAACTGCGTCTCACTGAATTATCATACTGAGTTACTGACCAAATTTTCTTTGATATAACCATGATATGTCATTCCAGCGTTCATAAACTCTTTTCTGTCACATTGTCTCAGTTCATTCGATGTCCGTAATTCTTTACAGCTCCGTACCAAGTCAAATTTTCAAATTTTCGTTCTCGGTAACAAGACATTGCTCTTTGTTGGGATATTTGTCAAAGTGAACTTCCTTATCACATTGACCTTTGTTCTGCGTGTTCGTTGTTGACATATGATTGGTCAGTTGATCTTTCATTCGGTTTACACATGCCCAGAGAAACATTTGAACTTTGGACTATTGGATATCGCCTTTTTATGGCTGTTGACAAGCTTATCCTGTTACTATGAGATTATAACCAAGTTTGAAGGTGACAAACGTGTTGTCTCATTAACTTGAATTTATATATTGTTATATATAAATTTGCTTAAATTTTTATATACGTCCTGTGCATTTTCGTGCAATATTGACCGAGAGAGCGGCGTTTAAACTTGAGTAACCATTTTTGAAAGTGTCGAGAATTAGCCAAAAACGGCCTATCAAATATTAATACAGCAATAACATGCATGTCCTTAGACGCACTATAGTCAGGAAGTATACACGTTCGTTGTCAGAGACCTGCCCAACGCCACCGGTATAAACCTCACGAGCATTATTTACCCTTACATATTCTAAACATATCGAAACACTTTGGTCCTACGTTAAACGAGGCGTATTTATAAAAAAAAACAATTGACGTTTCTTTCTTGGAACATTAAAATTTGATTCCCCAGGGTCATTGAATATTTAGGGCCGGTCATTATTTATGGCAGGGGTGGGGGCCGAAGAGAAAGTAAAATGCAGCCAGAAAAAATCATTACCCCAACTTTTTCGAAATCAAATTTCTAGCTACCCCACCGGTGGAATGCTGGAAAAAATTCTACCCCACCTAAACCTATTTTGTTGCAACGTCATTATATATTGCTTTGATCACAATGGCCATTATAATTAAAAGGGAATGGGATTGAAGCACTGACAGTCATGTGGGGCATGCTATAGTTAGCATTGTGCCTTATTATGGGTTACTTCTACAATTGCAAGGTACCATATAAAGAATTATAGTTATGTGAAGGCTTGAAAATTGTCTGCTGAAAATAAGACTTGTCATTTTTGTAGTTAATATAAAATAATATAATTTATATGTTATAAGCCTTGGGGTGGGCCCATAGGGAAATGCCAAAAGAATTAAAGGTTTTAAAATTTAAACTTCACTTCATGCATTGAAACGAATATTTACGATAAAATGGTAACGGTTATCAAATTAGTTTAACAAGCTGTTTTTAGCTAATTCTCGACACTTCCCAAAATGTTTATTCAAGTTTAAACGCAGCTCTCTCGGTCAATATTAAGCGAAATTGCACAGGGCGTATATCAAAATTTAAGCTAGACAATACTGAATGCAATGCACGTAGTTTAGGTGTAATAGCTCTTTTAGTTTTTAAGTTAAAATAAATCAAACAGGTTAACTTTTTTCTGCGCCACCCACCCGGTATATATATATATATATATATATATATATATATATAATCATATAAAATTGTAGCTAATGGCAGGCAAGGAAGTCCAAAAGAAATCAAAAGGCTTTTGTGTTTTGGGCTACCTTATAACAGTCTGATAAAACCGGAACGGTAAAAAAAGTACTAAGATCTATTACAACTATAAAATATATTGAAAGCTTTAATAATTAAGAGATATTCTTTTATTTTTTTATATTTTCATGAAAGAGGAAACGGAACAAGCATTATACGAATATCTTCACTGAGTGAATTAAACAATTTAACTCCTTGATAAACAAGTGAAAACTGCTTAATATTAGTTCTGCAGAAAGGAACAAAATACAATTTCGAATTTCGTGTATTATAATTATGAACTTCATTAACACCACAAAAAATTATTAAAGTTAGCCGGCAACATTTGTTTATGATATAAAAACGTAAATTTTACAAATGAAACAAATAAATTTTACAAAATGGAAGTTTAACAATTCTAATAACTTGCTTCTGTAATATCGCAATACGTTTAAAGTATTTTAATATAACATTTTCAACGATGATTTTGAAAGATAATTAAAACTTACTTTTTTTATAATACCAATCGATTTAGACATTTTCATTGCTACATGCCATATGTGGGGCTTCCATGTAAGATGTACATCTAAGATTACCCCGAGAAAACCAACCTCATTAATTAAACAAATTCGACGACTATTTAAAAATAATTATATTAAACTCAACTTCACATTGTCTTTGTTTTGGTCAAAAAATCATAAAATTAGTTTTCTTTGATAATCCATTAGCTGAAAACCAATTAGAGAGTTTATTTAACTCACGATTAACAAAGTGAAATATGCTTAAAACATTACATATATCATTAACATACAATAAAAAATGGGCCTAATATTGAACCTTGCGGAAAACCACACTCAGTAGTCATTTTTTGAGAACAAATACCATTATATTAAACAAATTGCTGCCTATTTCAAAAATAGTTTTTAATCTTTTGTACTTTTGTATTCTTTTGTATTTTAAACTTAACCGTAACCTAAACCTAACCCTACCCCTTACTTTAATCCTAAACCTAATCTTAATCAACTAACCTTTCCCTAATTCAAAGCCTAATCCTAACCCTAAAAGTCTAAAAATAGTAAGTCTCCATAAAACGTGACTCGTACGATAGTGTATACAGTGTGTATCAAAATAATTCGAATCCAAATTTGGCGTGTAATAACGCAGAATATATTTGACAAATTCGCTCGTTTTTTACACCATTGTTAAGTTCATTTATTTATCTTTCAAATGACATGCTGTACGCGTCATTTAGTTGGAAAATGAAGGAGTATTGCTTTGACAAAAAAAGTCCATAAAAATCACAATTTTCCGCCGATGGGAATTGGACATTTTTTCTTTCAAAGTTAGTCCCACAAGGCTTTGAAATGCTAATCATCACTGAAAACTAAAATGCAAATTTAACGCGAATTTCTTCTCGTTCAACATGTTCAATGCATAGGAGCTTAAATCTCTTTAAATGAACACGAATTTATGTAAATTTTGCTACATAACAGTTTGTTGATTAATTAAATTTGCATTATCTTTTGTTTGTACGTCTCACTTCGATTTCCCATCGGCGGAAAAATTTGATTTCGAGCAACCAGTTTTAACACACGATTTCTTGGTCATTTTTGATCTTATTGATATAAGAACGATATAATCGGAAACCTAATAGGCTATTCTTTATTGCCATATAAAAATTATATGGTTTACCTTAGTATTTTATATACAGCAGTCTGTCAAATTTGGATTCGAATTATTTTGATACACACTGTATATACTCTCTCCTCCGCAGAGCCTCCCTAAGTATTTACAAATAAATTACATGAAGTTTCCTAAATAAAAGTGAGCGCGCGCGGTGTGATGGGAAGATTCAAATGAAGTTAGGGAGGCTCTGCCGGATAATGCGACGAAGTAGAGTTTTTGAACCAAACTAGTTGTTTGACCTTTTTTAAACTTGAAATCGACGGAAATGCGAAAGAAATTGAAATGAATCTTCATAATCTCAGTATCGAAGTTCAATAGAGTCATTTTTATAACGAAATGCTGCAATTAAGAGGATACTGTTTATAATCAGATAGTTCGTACCCATTGATATTCGTTTGCAATTTCTCAATATTTTTCGATTCAAATGGACAGAAGAATATATTGATATTGGATTCAACCCAGGATACTCAAGTATGCCTGAAAATGAAAGTCGAAAACATGTTTTAACTCCGCCGATGGTTGATCGAACTTCGCTATACAAACGATTATATACGACGCCATATTGATTGCATTAACTGGCAGAGGCTTCCTTTATTTAGCTCTTCCCATCACTCCTTGCGGGCTCACTTTTCCCTCACTAGAAACTTCATGTAAGCCTCTGCGGAGGAGAGAGGTATATATAAGTATGCTCACTTGGATTATCCATCAAATCCATGCAGCATTGAATTCAGTTCAAGTAAATTGCAATAACATCTTTCAAATTCTCCATATCATAACTCGCATATTCGAGTGAAGGCCTTTCAGTGGGAAGATAGTAGCGCAGAACATGACATGGTCTATAATAAAGGGTCTTCGCTCGATACGTCAATGTTCCGTTTGTATTTTTGAGGTAGTTGTATCTCTCAAACAGATTTCTATATCCATGTCATCATTATATATAGGGAACCCACCCAGTCAATATCATTCCTTGTGAAAAGAAACTAAATTGAATTGATTGGAGGAAACAAACGAATTATAGGTGTATTTCGACTTAACTGCTAAGAGCATTCCTTTAATACTTGACCGGTCTAATACCATTCGAGGACTAATTAGAGGCACATATGAAGTATAGATATGAAAGAGATATTGTGAATGAGGCAAGTGCATGCAAACAGTCATACCTTATTATCCGGTTGCGATAAAGATTTACAGTCACAATAAATGCTACATGCACAAACCATTTCGACATTTAATAAACAAAGAAAATGAATTGCCCATTACCCGTTCAGAAAAATCTGTGATTGATTGGACTATCAATAATCAACCGTCTACTTAGATCTGATCATTAACAGATGAACGGACTTGCTTCTACGTACCGTTTGACTAAAACTCTGATCGGATCTCGACGACTGGGGTTCGGCAGGCTATCCACAATTACACTATATTCCTGCAACTATATATATTCTGCACTAGAGCTGCCTTGATATTAATTTACACTAATTGGCTTAAATTGACTATCAATACTGATGCATACATCTTTGAATATATTGAACAGGAAATCTGCAAATGCGGAACTGCCCGCTTGCTTCAAGCTTCAACAAAAACTTTGTTGGGAAAAATTCCACTGACTATCTGGCTTTAGTATAATTATACATAGGTGATTACCGACAATTCTCCACCCTGATTGGTTGCTGCTGAGGTGATTAGACGCGATAATCTTCTAAGCGATTTTCGAAATGGCGACCGAAGCCGCGCGCGTCTTTTCAATTAAATGACAAAGAAATGTGTATTTTTTTACTTTTCCCAAATAATTACTTATGAAATTATACAAAACAATTATTCACCTCAAGGATCGGTGATTATCGTGAATAAAAACTCGACTTCGTCTCGGTTTTTATTCACCGATAATCACATCGCCTTCGGCGAATAATTGTTAAGTGTGGATAATATGTAGCAATACCAGATTGGTGTTAATATTTAGGTACAAATAACAATCTTCATTGAATGTCTATGCATGCTTTGATCATTAGTAAACAAATAAAATGAATATCTTACCGTTTCAACAGTTTAAACCTGTGGTTGGAAAAAATGCCAGCTACGTTGATAGATGTACGTCGCATTATTCCAGGCCGTTGAATTAATGTTTGCGAGTCGAGGAAGCCCGGTTTCAATCAAATGTCTATGTATATTTTGAAATTATAATATTGTCATTCATCGTATATGAGCTGTTCTGCAATCTGATTGGTTGAATTACTCGCCGTATATCAGCTCATATACGGCGAGTAGCGAAAAACAAGATGGCGGTCGAAAAACTACATGAGTTTTGCGAAGCAGGAAAAAGGAAAATAGTCGCTTTGAGAAAGATAATAGTACAAGGAAAAATTCTCAAAAAATTTGACAGGTTAGCAAAATACATTTATTACATATAGATATTAGTTTAAATACAAGTTTTTTAAAGAATTAATACCGAATCAACAGCGAAAAAAAACATGTTCATTGAGAATATGAATTGTTCAGAAAAGTTTGCAACGAAAGACAAATGAATTTGCAGTCAACAGGCACTTATATACTATACTACCAAACATCTGTATAATATATCTGAGCTTTTCTGTGAGATATACCGGTTGTGAAACCATTTCTTTCATCGCTTCGTCTTCGAGTTGTAAAACAAAAGTATTTCAAATTTTAAGGCCAAGCGATTTGTGGCCGAACAAATTGTCAAGACATTGTAACAAAGGATAGTTAATTATTGCTTCAGTTCATGGCTATCACTCTCGTCATATATGGCTGATAGCCGACTCGGTGCTACGCACCTCGTCGGCTATCAGCTCATATACGACTCAAGCTCATGGTATAATTGTTAAATATCAAGCGGATTTTGTACGTTCGAATACTTTCAAATTATTGCGAAGAATCGTCCCAAGTGTTCTGACGTGGGCAATATGAAAATCTTCCACTTGAGCCTGCATATATTATGATGCATTTTTTGCAGCTGCTCCTGGTTATAGGTCTATACAAATGAATAAAATAAACACGAAAAAATTTCCATCTACAAAATCCTTCAACAATAGTTCGATCGAGTATAACAAGCTCAAAATACCTGATGTTTACTCATTAGACTTACAATGGCATCACTTTATAGTAAATACTAAAACTGTCTGCACCAGTGTAGGTAGTACCAATGTGAAAATGCTGTGCTGAGTGGTTATATTACTAATTTAAAAAACAAGCAGAATGCACATAACCTACGGTTAGACGCTTAGAGCTCGATAACTGGACTCTGTATAGCTCAGTTGGTTAGAGCACTGCGCCGGAATCGCAGAGCCGCAGGCTTGATTCCTGCCAGAGGGCCTGTACAGTTGCATTTTTCGCAGCTGCTCTTGATTAAGATTAAATAATATATTTTACTCAATTCGTAACCGAGGTGACCTCAAATAAGCATGTGTTTTGTGGGATTGAGGTATAATGGTATTTAGACCATTTTATTTTTGGCATCCAATATTATATTCTTAAAATAAGTTCAAATATGGGTATAAAATAAGCTATAAGTTCAAATATGGGTATAAAATAAGCTACATTTACCCAAAGTAGCCTGTCTATTGGACCTCCCACGCAGTTCGAGACGATTTTAATGAAAGTGGGATAATTAAATCTTCTCACTCACGAGAGAGGCTGAGAAGGAGTTGCTCATATAAACAAGATGTAGGTAATCTTCGCAATTTCTAACCACGAAACCAGAACATATATACGTATAAGGAATTGTTTACAGCCTCTCTGTCATCACAATTCTCAAAGATTTTTTGAATCGCGCCTGCTTTGGACCACCAACGTGCATTTCCAATGGTGGTAAGCTTCTTAAGCTTATCTGCTCCAGTTTTGAACTCAAACACCGAGTCCACTCATTCATTAGTTGTGCGATCCGCGATAAAGTGAGGCTGTTGAATTAATTAAGCAACATGAAAAGGCTCGTTGCAGGAAGCGTGGAAGAAGTTGTGTTGCCGAGCACGAGGTTAAGAGTGTGCGCATAACACCATGCAGACATGGATGTGGTTCTTAGCAAGTTATTCGAGCTTGCAAACCTCTGTACTGTCCTGACATAATCGCGGTACCATCAAAACTCTATCCTACGCAAGTTAAATTATAGGCAGAGGATTGCGCAGGCCGCGGCTCCTATAATATACTAACATGCAGTGTCGCCCCATCGATTTTTCTAGTATATGACTATATTTCTGATTACTTTAAATTGAAAATTTGCACACTGACCCGAGAATACCTTCGAGTTAATCACGCGTTTCTGCAGCAGATTACATCCCGTCTTGCGTTTTGGCGCTCGCCCAGAGGAGGAATGAGGGTCTTCCCGAAATGCAACGCGCGAATCAGTGCGGTCATTATTATTCAAGCTATTTATTCTCAACACGCCGTTCGATTAAAAACTGCTGAAATATATTGCGATTTTTGCTGTGAAGATCTCGTTTTCTCAAAGGTATGTTTTGATAACCTTTTTGTTTAGTAATTTAATAAAAGAAGTTTTGAATAATTTTGTATATATATCGCATTTTACTTATATTAAATTTCCATTGTATTTATGCATGTTTTGGGTGTTGAAAAAGTGCCATTGAAATATTCTGGAGTAAATTGCACTTTTTTACAAGTAAACTAAAATAAAATTACATCAGTGAATTCAGGAATGTTTATTCTTTATATTGATACTTTAAAACATGAATTTACTCCATAAAACCGAAGAGTTATCGCGGTTTGAAAATGAGCTATTTTTGCTATATCGAATTAACAAAAATAGCTCATTTTCAAACCGCGATAACTCTTCGGTTTTATGGAGTAAATTCATGTTTTAAAGTATCAATATAAAGAGTAAACATTCCTGAATTCACTGATGTAATTTTATTTTAGTTTACTTGTAAAAAAGTACAATTTACTCCAGAATATTTCAATGCCACTTTTTCAACACCCAAAACATGCATAAATACAATGGGAATTTAACATAAGTAAAATGCGATATATATACAAAGTTATTCAACACTTCTTTTATTAAATTACTAAACAAAAAGGTTATCAAAACATACCTTTGAGAAACGAGATCTTCACAGCAAAAATCGCAATATATTTCAACAGTTTTTAATCGAACGGCGTGTTGAGAATAAATAGCTTGAATAATAATGAGCCGCACTGATTCGCGCGTTGCATTTCGGGAAGACCCTCATTCCTCCTCTGGCGCTCGCCAAAGCCATCCCTTAGTATCTTTTTGTGTATATATAAAAGAAAAATACTAGGGAGAAAAGATTACAGGGGCCATTTGTCGGGCGGGAAAAGATTGCGAGAAAAGTGGTTGAAGCGTGCTTCGCTCATTTTATGCATATGATTTGGGGTTTCTAACTATTTTAATTAAATAATATTATTTAGGCCAATATGAAGGGGCCCAAAACGACCTTACAAGCAAGGGGCTCACCGGGCTTTTGCCCGATCTACCAGTCCGCCCCTGTAAACAATCGATATTTTTTTATAAAATTAGTAGCATAATTATAAACAGTTTTAGAATAAATAAAATGGACATTCAAATCAATGTCCATTTGAGTATTTGGCTAGTATCAAAATGCCCTTTGCCGAAAAACTTCATTTACGCGCTACGAGCCTACGACCTATAAACATGCAGTCGCTCTTGAGTGCTCTGTTGATATTAACAAGTAAATCAATGCAAAGTTCATACCGTTTCCAGATAACAACAATTTAACGACATATTATAAGATTATACAGTAAATATGTGAACCAAAAGCAGAGCAGAAACGTGTGAAATGAAAGTGCCTTTTATAAGTCCGCCCAAGCGACAAGCCCCTAGAGAACATAAGAACAATGGAGGATAATCTGATCATACGTTTTTATTGGCTGATTTCCTGACTTGTTGCTACAAAAATCTGTTTAGCATATTTTTATAACTTAAAAGCGAAAAGAAATCAAATTTAGCAAGTATTTTGACGTATTATCAAAGTTGATTGTACAGAACACGAGTTCACTCCTTGCGATCGAAGCTAGTGTAAAGTGCGGAAGCATGTAACATCATACTTTTCCCTCACCCCTTTAGGCGATCAATTTTCTGTGAGACCCCAGACCAGCTATTGCCAGGATCTTTCCTCCACTAGAGAGAAGAGCCTGGGAACGAGGTTGAGTACTATGCAAACCCTAATAAGACATGAGTAAATGTTTATGACTCAAGTTGTGCGTTTAATATAGAACCGAGGCAGCGCAGATACCAGAGTTAGTTAGGCCTAAAAAATACCTCGGTTTCCCGACCGACCCCTAGGGATGCAACTACCTGAAAAATACAAAGAGAATTTCGACGTTTCGAGCGAAGGCGCTTCGACTTGTACTGTTTAATAGTGTTTGTATACATCGTACTTGACCTTTACTGATAAATATAATCTCCTCAAGAACGAGAGAATGTTTGCTGTGAAGTGTGGGCCTGCGGTTGATGTCTTTAAAACTTGACTATAAAGGTTTAAATTTCCTTGAAATTGGATAACGGACATTGCTCTCATATACTATATGTGCTTTAAAATTTAATTTTACTCTCCTGTCAGAATTTATGGTATAGTACGTAGTGTTAGGTCCACACTTCACGGCAAACATTCTCACATTCTTGAGGAGATTATATTAATTTATCATGAATACCAGCAGTATAAAAGGTCAAGTACGATGTATACAAACACAAACACAAACACTAACAGTACAAGTCGAAGCGCCTTCGCTCGAAACGTCGAAGTTCTCCTTGTATTTTCCACGTAGTTGTATCAATCCTATCAATCCAAAGCTTTCGTCCATATTTCTCCCAGAATTTTTAGTTGTTTTCAATCGATTTCAGTGTAAAAAGTATCAAATTTTCGACGAGAGATTCTAAATACTTCAGTTATATTTTGCAACAATTGCCGAGCATGCGTAGAACTCACGTTGGAAATTCAACGTACTATGTGCCGCTAGCCAATCACCGGCCTGAACCAATTCGATTTCTCCAGAGCTATGCCCACCCTTAAAATTTTTTTGAATTGAATTGAATTGATTTAATGACTACTGACTTTGTAACCCAAAAAGGTTAAATTACACCAGTATTACATAAATTAAGAGGATAAGTTAAAATTACATAATAATTACATATTTAAGATTATTTACATTTCTAAAAACTTATTTACTGTTAATCTTTAATATACTTTGAGGTAAAAACAAATTCTTAAAACGTTCGGTTCTGCAAACATAATTATGATATTTACATATCGGTCTTAGATCATATCCAGATAAAACTGTTTGTGGTAAAAGATCTTTGAGATTTTCATTGTCAATATTCTTCTCAAAGAAATGTTCGCATAATTTTTCTCGTCGATCTCTCAGTGACGTGATGTTAGTCGTGATCAGCGCTTCGTCGTACTTTTGCGATGGGAGGATTATTCTCAACGCGCGTTTTTGTATTTTTTCAATATCGTCACATAAATATTGTTGGATATTGTAATGCCAGACCTGGCATGCGTACTCTAAAACAGGCCTAATAATGGTAGTATATACAGTAATTAACGTGTCAATACACGCGTTGGACCTTTTTAGCAGTCTTAGCATATAGAGCCTCTTGCTAGCTTTTTTAACTATGTTATTTTTATGTTCATTCCACTTCATGTTATCTTGGACTGTGAGGCCAAGGATACGGGCAGATTTCTCTCGTTCAATATTAACTTTATCGACTGTTAAAAGGGGAAAGCAATGCTTCTTTTTTGCAAAATCAATAACCAGTTCTTTGCATTTTCCAATGTTTAATTTCATATTATTACTCGTAGTCCAATTATTGATGTAATTAACCAGTTCTTGAAGGTTGCTGTTACAATCTGGGCCAATGGTTTCGGTAGTGGTGGTGTCGTCAACGGATTTCCATCGGTCTTTCCAATCAGCGAGGAGATCGTTTATCATGATTAGGAAGAGGATTGGGCCTAAAACAGTTCCCTGGGGGACTCCACCGTTGAGGATTTGCCATTCTGACACACAATGGGGCATTCTGACCCGTTGGCTTCGTTGAGTAAGAAAACTTCTTATCCAGTTTGTTATTAATGATGGAACGTCCATATCAGATAATTTACTGAGGAGGATGTTATGATCGATATGGTCAAAAGCTTTGGAGAAGTCTAATAAAAAAATTCTCACAGCGTTTTTCGGCACATCAGTTTCGTTTAATAAGTGATGGAGAAGGCTCAATAATGCATGTGTTGTTGAAGAGTTTTTAGAGATCCAAATTGCCGTTTATCGATCTTCTCACCAATCAACTCCATCAGCCAGTCTGCGACAAAACGTTCACACGTTTTTGACAAAGTGGCAGTAAGCGAGATGGGACGCAAGTCTTTAGTAATGTCCCTCAGCACCTTATTTTTAGGTACAGGGATGACGTCGGCTTTTTTCCATACCCCGGGAACAGACGCCTGTTGAAGGGAGGCGTTGAAGATTGAAGTAACAGGGGAAGACAGCAGGGGCGCATAATCTTTTAGGACCCAATTCGGTATTTCATCTGGACCAGCTGCTTTCGAGGATGATATTGAAGATAATTTATAATAAATGTCTTCTTCCCTAATAATGTACTCGGTTGGAATTGTAGTACAATCGCTTTGTAATTGGCTATCGGGGAAAGGGATAGGACTAAAAGGAGGAATATCTCGAGTAACGGATACGAAAGCCTCGTTAATTTTTTCAGCAAGCTGCTTTCCAGAGACGACTTGCTCTCCTAGGACAATACTTGAAAAAGATTTCTTCTTAGGGTAGCCAGCTATTTGTTTTACGGTGTCCCACCATTTCTTAGGATCAGGGTTACGTTTCAATTGTTTCAATTTATGTTCTAAGAATGCAGATTTGAGGTACTTACTTTCTCGATTGGCACGATTACGTAGTCGCCGGTACAATTTGTCATTTTTCTGAAAAAATGCCTTCTGTCTGTTTTTAATAAGTTCCTTGTATGAAGGTGTTATCCAAGGCTTATCTCGGTCGTGCATTTTAACTACTTTACATGGAAGGAAGTGGTCTAAGCCGGTATGAATAACATCCTGAAAAATTTCCAGTTTTTGTTCGCACGGTGCAGTACGATACAGGTTAGTCCAATTATAGTTCGTTAGCCATCTTCCAAATGCAACTTTGGCACCTCTGTTACCGGGTCTAATGTTTATTTTCTTGCATCCGTTCAATGATTTACATTTTTTTAAAATGCATAAAACGGAATTATGGTCGCTGAGTCCGATGGGTGCGATCACCTTAGGAGGGTCACATGTGTCTGACATATTAGTAAGAATAAGATCAAGGACAGCATCTTTCCTGGTTGGTTGTTTTACGATTTGTTTCAAAGTAAAATGTCTTAATAAAGATGAGACAGGACATCTGTTAAAATCTCCGAGTAAAAATATACCTGCATTTGGGTACTTACTGAGAGCGAGGTCAAGTGTTGAGCTGAGGTGATCTATAAACGCGGCGTTGTCGCTGGATGGGGGTTTATAGGCCACACAGACGATCAAACACGAGAAGCCTCGATTAAGTTTATAAGGTCGTACATAGATCCATAAGGTTTCAAAATTGATGTCATTAAATTCTGTTAGAATTTTGAACGGGATGTCTGATTTAATAAAAACACAAACTCCACCGCCAAGTTTATCAATTCGATCACATCTTGCTATTGAATACCCGCGAATACAAACTGCTGCATCGTCGATTTTCTCATTTAACCATGTTTCGGTTATGAAGGCCATACTCACATCATATTGGTCAAGTATAATTTTTAATTCATCCACCTTTGGTAAAAGTGATCTTGTATTTGAGAGAAGGAATGTCGGTAAATTACTTTGGGCGCACTTTGGGCTTTGATATAGAGACGTGCTTTGATATAGGGATGGATTCTTGATTGGAATTTCAATTAGATTACGCGTTCCGCTACGGTTTCGTTTGCTAGTATTAGGAATATGTTCATTATAACACGGAGCGCTAGACTGCTGACCTTCGAATTCATGGTAAGATGTAATTCTTACTGGTATAGTGTTTCGTTCTGGTGTGATTATAGTGTTGTTACTAGCTGCGAGAGGGATCTCCAAGTTTATTGCAATGTGCGACGGACAAACTCCAGGTAATTCAACCAGTCTGCCTGCTGGCTGAATCGCGACCGAAAAAACGTATGCCGGTTCATCTTTCCTGTTTCATTCCTTTGAGTCTGGCGTGAGCGAGGCGCATGTGTCGAGTAATTAACAAGTAGGGGCAACCGTCCTATCGAATCAAGGGGTTCGGCCCCACTTCGAGATGTATGCATGGGGTTACTAACAGTCGTCTTGTAATAATTCCAGTTCTCGCGGCTTTGCGACAACTTGAAAATCATTTGGTTGATTATTTGCGGAGTGGATACTTTATCACTCGGCATCTCGCCGCTCCCTCAGGCAATTCGATCTTGTAACGATGTAATAATATTGAAGCAAACGAAAACATCATTACCTTCGCCAATGATTGGCCAGGACATTCTCTACGACCAACGCCAAACGGCATGAAACCGTGTAATTTGTTCCAGCCGACGAACTTGCCATCCTCATCCAGAAATCTTTCAGGTTTAAATTTCTCCGGTTCTGGCCATTCTCGTTTATCCGTATGCACCTTCGGAAGATTCAGGCCGACAAATGTTCCTTTAGGAATGTGATAGCCAGCGATCGTTGTGTCACGAATCGCGTTTGTCCCGACGAGCGTCATCATACCGGATGCCCTTTCGACTTCACATAAGGTTACTTGGAGGAATGGCAAGCTTTCTGCATCTTTCCAGTTCGGTAGACGATCACGTCCTACTACAGCGTCCAATTCCTCGTGTATTTTGCTTTGCACATTAGGATATAAGACATTGAAGAGAAAAAACCAAGTTAGCCATGCCGAGCTAGTTTCTGATCCCACAATAACCACATTCAGCATCAAGCCTGGAATGCTACTATCTTTCGAGCCAATGTCTTTCCCAGTCTCTTTGACTAGCTCTTTTTCGTATGCACTTATAAAGCTATCTGTGAGATCTCGTATGGTGCCTGGAATGTAGCTCTGCTGGTGGGCTCGATATTCCGGTGGGAAAATCTTCTCTCTAATCTGTTGTGCTCGCTTTATATCGGGAAAAAATTGCGTTGGTAAGTAACATAGGAATGGAAATAACTGATACACTGTATTAAGTAATGCTTGTCTGCCCATAATCGCGTTAAATTCGTTGAGGTCCTTCACCATTGGGTCATCCAAAGTTATCTTCTTCGATGTAAGCCATTCCAAAAGTTGCACAACTATAGACGATTCGAAAAGATTTTTTGGTAAAAAAGATCTCCCTGGTTTATTTTCGATTTCTTTCATCGTGATTTCAACAGCGTGACCAGCACGGACCGAGGCTTGCTCTATCCCAGCGCCAAAACTATGCATTGCTGATACGAACACTTTCTTCTCAAAAAGATATGCGGCTGAGTAATCAGATCCGGCCATATTATGACCCATTATCTCTCCGAAAGGAAAGAAAGACTCTGGTGATTTTCCCGCAAGATCTTCTTGTCTCCCGGGGGCAAGCCTGGCTTCACGAACTAGGGATGCTGTATTCAAGATGACAGCATTGCCGTTTGGAAAAGCAACCGTGAAAATGTCTCCATATTTCTCAGCCAGTTTACTAAATGGTGTGACGGGATCTGCAGCCATGATTTGTAGGATATTTCCAATGAAGGGATATGAAAATGGTCCGGCAGGCATGTTCTTTCTTTTTATGCAGGTGGTGATAACGTACCAGATGAACCAAACGAGAAACAACGAGACAAAAACCTCGATAATCATCATGTAGCTGTAAGAAACGAGTTTGTATTTTTAATAATGTGGCAATCTGGGTACGCCTACGATCCTGTATGAAGGCTTTATGACTATATTCTTAAAAATTTGTTCCCTTCGTTTGCCTGAATTTTCCTGCAATGCCCACTCTGTGATTTTGTAATTTCTGGTATTTACATGTACAATGTAGGAGTACAGTCAAATTCCCTACTGACTAGCTACTACTCGTGATCGGACTTCAAACCATCGTGCCACGACAATGCCACAAACTAGTATCGACACGTAAGGACAGTGACGTTATATTCAAACACCTCGTACGTGTATGTCAACCCAACGTGCGGTGTTAAATATATAATAGAGACCTATAGATTTTTTCTTCGACGTTAAACCGCCGGCTGGAAACCGCGGTTTGCTGTCGGCCGTCTGTAGTTTGCCGTTTAACACATATTTTGGATTTTGTTTTCAATGCTTCGTAACTTTTTCAGATGTACTTTTCGGTTTTCAAATAATTCTGCAGGGTTTGTACGGTTTCATATATATTCTGATACATCTAGCTGTTAAAATACCATGTCTGCGGTATAGCATACAATTCACAAAATATAAATAATGTAAATGTAAAAATTTGGCGGCCATGTTGAATACACGAAGCACAAGTAGCTCTTGAATTTCGGCGTATAAAATGCTGCATGGAACACTTAATAATCCTCAATTATAACTTAGATTTAAAGATTTGTAATACCAAATAACTAAACCATAAAGACGTGGGATAATTCGCTCTCAAAGAAATAAAAGTTTGCGGAAAATGATTTCCGGGAAAAATTGCTCCAGTCGTCAAAAACGTGTAAAATATGCGGCAAACGCAACCGCTAGACCAAGTCACGTGGTTCCCTGTGGTTTCCCCTTTAACGTTCGAGGGAAAAACTTTTTCCTGAGTGCACTTTCCTGAAAACTTTTTTTTGAGGACCTGCACAGGCTAGGGAGGTCGAAAATTTTGATTTTCGAAGTCGAAGGGCCATTTCCTGCGATTTGAGAGTGACATTCATGCAAAGAGAGCAACAAAAAACGTGTGATAAGAGGAAAATTCTTAATACTTTTTCTTTTTGAAAATTGCATTTCCACAAAATTTAATTTTATTTCACTATATATTTCAACTTAACTGAAAATGTCGCTCAATATAGCCACTATTGGCAGAAGAAAGAGGAGAATATAGTATGTGTATATTTTAATACCCTTCTTCATGTAAATAAATATGGTCTTTCATTTGGAATTGCGTAAGGTCTACTGTAGTATACTATATTATAGTGTCTACAAGGACCTTGTAAATCTGAAGCAGAAACCTAATGTTGAAAGATACTTTGTTTAGTTATTTGGTATATCTGTAAACCTCCAATTATATAAGCACTCATGTCATAAAGCAAATGAACTGGTATAGTAAATATATTTATATCAATATGAAACGTCATACAATAGAATACACAATGGAGTCTGTTCACATGCATTTTGCCGCGAGCTAAAATATCTTGTTAGAAGCCAGAAATATTCTATCCAGATCAAGATGGCCTTCCTACGATTCACTCGATTGACGTTCGTCAATTTGCATATATACATAACTAAGATAACTTGAACAAATCTCGACAGAATTGCTGAATAATTTACGGTATTTAACTTGGTCGTGCTTTCGAAGATGAGCACGACCGAAGACAAAATTCTGGGAGATACGCATGCGCGAGGAGCAATCTAATCAATAGAATGCGTTGGAATTTATAATTTAGTCGTGCTCGCCTGACGAGAGCACGACTAACGGGCGGATTACCCATTAGTCGTGCTAACGGATTACCCATTAGTCGTGAAACTACACAATCATACCTCGCATTGATTTAAAATCAGAGCAAAATCACAGGATTTGAATGGAGTTCGCACTTAATATAGATGACACAAGTGTACCATGGGCGCTTTCCATTTAATGGGTACTTCCTCGGGTAGAAGAATTTGCATCACAGATTACGTCATCAGTTAGTTATAGTGATTAGTGTTGGAGTTAGGGTAAGGGTTGGGGTTAGGGTTAGGGTTAGGGTTAGATTAAGGATTAGGCTTAGAGATAGGGATTGGGTTATATCTGACGCCACAAAACAACACAACTAGCCGATCACGTGATCAGTTCTCCTCTACCCGAGGAACTACCCCATTTAATGGCCTGACCTGTCCGCCCGAATTGTTTTTCTCTGTATCAATGAAAAGATCTGGTCTAAGTTTCTCAAATACCTAGCGAAAATGGACCTCATTCTAATGTTATCTAAATTTTCCGGTCAGATAGGTCCGAAGCCCAATTGTTTTGTGTTCTATTCAACAATTTGACAGGTCTGGCCGTGTTGCATGATGGAAAGCGCCCCATGAATCATTTTTAAAATTTTGAGGGAATTTTTTTAGTCGTGCTGAGCACGACTAGCACAACCTCTAGCTTCGCTACTGGCAAAAGCTAAAATCTAAATGTTTATAATGAGAATTTGGAAGTTAATTGATTTAAAACAGCTGGTGTGTGACGAGACCTTAATAATATGTACACAATATTTTATCGGAGTGAGGAATGCTGGATTCGTTGAATAATCCAATGTATAAACTATTTAAGACCTGACCAGGAACAGTTGCGAAAAATGCAACACTATGTACTCTGATATGAGCCGAATCTACGGCGATATGGACCTACTGTACGCAACTGGTGTTGTAATTTTCGCAACCGTTTCTGGATAGGTCTTACATAGTGTATACAGGCTATATAATTATGCTCACTTGGATTACCCATCAAATCCAGCATTCAAGTTCAACCAAATAAAATGCAATAACATAATCGAGTGAAGGCCTTTCGTTGGGAAGATAGTACTGTGGAATATGACATGGTCCATGACGAAGTGCCTAATTCGCCCGATTCCCCGAAGTTCAGTTTGTATTCTTAAGAGGTAGTTATATCTCTCACACAGGTCTCTATATCCATTCGTCACAATATACAGGGAACCCGCCCTGTCAATATCATTCCTTGTGAAAAGAAACTAACTTGATTGTGGAAACCAACGAATTATGGGCGTATTAACTTGACTGCTAAGAGCATTCCTTTAAAATACCAGACTGGTCCACATGTAAGCATGCATCCATTTGAAGAACAATCAGGCACATATGAAGTTTATAGATATGAGTTGTCCGCTTGCTTCAAATTTCAATAAAGACTTTGTTGGACAGAATTCCAGTTGCTATCTGGCTGTATGGTAATATAACAATGCCGGAGTGTTGTTCTTATTTAGCTACAAATAAAAATCTTCATTGAATGTTTATACATGCTTTGATCATTGGCAAACAAATCAAATAAATGTCTTACCGTTTCAACAGACAAAACCTGTGGTTGTAGTGTTGGACAAAATGTCAGTAGTTACGCTGATGGATGTACGTCGCACTATTCCTGGGTTGAATTAAGCATATTTTGAATATATCAAGCGGATTTTGTACGGTGAATACTTTCAAATTATTGCGAAGAATTGTCTCAAGTGTTATGACATTGGCAATATGAAAATCGTCCACTTGAGGCTGCATATATTATGATGCATTTTTCACAGCTGCTTCTGATTAGGTCTAAATAAAGAAATAAAATGAACACTAGAAATTTCCGGCTACAAAATCCTTCAACAATAGTGACATGCTCAAAATTTCTGATATTTACCCATCAAACATGCCATGGCCGCATCACTTTTGTAAAAACACATGACTTACGGTCACATGCTTAGAGCTCGATAACTGGATTCTGTAGTTAAGGGCACTGCACTGGAACTGCCGGGCCGAGAGCTTGAATTCTGGCAGACGACCTGTGTACAGTAGTTGCATTTTTCGCAGCTGCTCGATCCTGGTTTGTACTAAATAAAATATTTACCTATTCGTAACCGAGTGCCTCAAATAAACTTGTGTTTTGTGTGGAATACGGCGAGGATATATCGGCAATTGGTATAATCAGTTTTCGTCAAAAATCTCCACATACTGACGATAGCGAGTACAGTGTCCGTGATGACTTGACTTTCCTCCCAAATTGCAATCCTGGTAAACTCTATAATTTCTTAAGAAACTCCGGGAAAATGTTTTAAAAATATAAAAATGTTCTTGTGGTAGATAAACCAGAAGAGTTGTGCTTCAATGTCCAATTAGGCAAAAGAATAACATGTTAAGCTCATAGTTGACCAAAACAGCAACGATCGAAAAATAAAATATGCCATACGCGACAAGTCTGGCTGTTGTTGTCACACCATGGCAACGATCTGGATGCTGGTGGAAAAAACTGGTTCATGCACCATGCACCAAGTCGAAAACCTCAAAACCCCAGACGTGGGGAATCCCCAAACAAAAGCGCAAGATTACTCATGAGCAAGTAATCTAAACCCAAACACATATCTAATACTGTACATCAATACTATCAACACTCTTCGACCCAAGACCTTTGGAGAAATGAGGTCTTGATATCAATGGCTTATTACATGAAATGAGTGAAAAACTGAAAGTAATGGACTAGATATTCCATATGGGAAAATGGTTCCTTCAATATACAGAAAACTCCTCAGTCACCGCCATAGTAGTAGGAGTTGTTGCTCAGGGGTCATTGTTGGATGTACAATTGAAAAATGACCCAATGCAAAGCACCGGCTCTTCTGATGAACTATCAAACACAACATTCCCAGATTTAACTTTGAAGTCCATCCGAAGCAAGCAGGCTAATTATTCAATTCGATTTCAATGGCCTGACAGTGTGCTTCTTTCTCTCTCAGAATCACATGAACTATTGAGAAAAAACCCTTGAGCAATCAAGTGAAAAGACCTGGAAACGAGAAAGAACATTACAATTGAAAGCTTCATATTTTGGAAAAATGCTTAACGGAAGAAAACACAACCATAGCGGCGCATTCATACAATCCATCTGAACAGGTGGGAAATTTGTCGTCGCTGACCAAAAAATTGCGGGCAGAAACAAAGCTCATTGCATTTACATTCAAAACAAAGCAGAAAGTTAGCAAGAAGCTGTTTTAGCTGACGATTTTTTGCTTTCCATTCAACGATTTACGAATTATTGGTTATTCTTTTAAAAGTCGATCATAAATTCTTTGTTTTGGGATGATTGTTTTGTAATCGCGTGATTGGAAGAAGTTAATATGGCGACGTGAACATGGGAGTAAATACCGTTTACGTCGATCTATGGCTTGTTTAAAACCGTAATAAACGAAGAAAGACGTGATTTGAGAATGAAATGTAAGTTGAAATTAACTTTATATGCCTCAAATTTTCCATCCTATGTTTCTTAATGTAACTTCAGCTGTCGAAGTTCAAAATACAAGCTCGCGAAATTTGACAAATTTTGAAAATATGTAAAAATAGCTTGACTTTGAACTGTATTTTCTCAAAAATAGCCCGTGGCCTCAATTTCAAATATAGCTAAATGAAAAGAAAAAACTTTTCGGCGTTTGTAGGTATCAAACATATCGTCAGGAAAATAGGGGCTCACAATGTTTTAGTTCAGTCTTTGAGACCCAGTTGCTTCGCACGTGTTGGGGTCAAATTCTTGCCAAGAATCAAAGGCCGAAATGTTAACTTCCTTCATGAAAACCGCTTCGAGAAGGGTCTAGTTTGAAAATTTAGCTATTAATTTCGATTTCATGAGCATATTTTGGTTACACGTTAAGTATTTTTGTCCTTGATGAGATTCAAAATTTGTTGTATATTCAAGCCCGGCTTTTGTGTAATTTTGGTGATGACCGGGACAGAAATAAAGATATTTTAAAAACTGGCCGTGGCCTCACGATAAAACTTTCTACAAATGTTCTCTGTTTCATGTACTTTTATCTGATATCTTAGGTATAAGCGTAAAAATAGGGGCTCATACAGTTTGAGAGGTTGTAAAATGCATGACTTGCCTCTATTTTCATGTAAACATTCGAAATTCTTCGACAGCAAAGTAGCAACTGTTTCAGATCGAATGCACACGGACAGCCCACCAGAGACAATGGCAGGGTACTGAAATAGAACGGCACTAAAAAGTTCTGTATGATTAATTTAGATCATGTCCACTCTTTCAACATAAAACAGTCATTTATTTTGTACAAACATTTGGCTATATTTACACGATTGTGCCTTTTTGTAAACACGCGTTGCGTGTATTCCACGCAATTGCGTGGCTCATTTTACTCGCGCATGCTCAGACAAATTTCCCACCTGTTATCCATCTGTCATCCGCGCTTGATATTTCTAATAACCTTGGGTTAAGTATGGAAATGAAAATGATGGCAAAGTTTCAAATTTATGCAAGGAATCATGCACAGTGAAGAAGAACAAGTCGAACTTCACAATGTTGGTCTCTGTGTTAACCCAAGTAAGTTTACAGCATATTTTGGTGCATCCCTTGACAGAGGTGTTTTTGACCCATCAAGCGATGATATTTATGGCGGTCTTGAGGTCAAGACCTGTCCCATCGCATCGTTGGCTTCACTGCACGAAAAATTGGATTTACCACTATAGGAAACACCGAGTAAACTTGTTAATAATGCCGCATTTGCTCGTAAATATCAGCAAATGCGGCATTATTGTCAAGTTTACTCTGTGTTTCCTATAGTGGTAAATCCAATTTTTCGTGCAGTGTTTGAAACGAAGTCACAACCACTATTACTAAATTCAAGGTCAACTAGCATTAGCTACACTACCACGGGTTGATTTTGGAGCCCATATTCAGGGATTGGAGATGTGCACAACGAAAGAATTTATAATGATCAAGATATCTGGAAAAGCATAATGTTATACGAAAATAAGATTGTTTTTATGCAAAGTATTATTGCAAGAGCATAACTAGTTTAAAATGAGAGACGAACCTTAAAATTTATGAACATATGATGAGAGACAGAATACCATCCATGCTGAAATTGTCATAGTACGATATTCATAAAGTAGCTGGTCTATATTTAATTGATAATTTGATTGGCAGATACATTTTAATTCAATCAAACTACAAAGAGATTATCTGCTTATTTAAAAAGTAAAATCATTCGAAATTAGACGGGGAAACATTGTCCAGCATTTAGACAAAGTAGTTAACAACAAGGAGCATTAAATTCTTAAAGTTAACTTCATAGGGGGCGTGTAAATTGCCGCCAGCTACTTCTGTTGATAGCTTAGGGCCTGTTTAGATGGAATTCGGGCTGGCCTACTAAGCGAGACAGCCAGGTAAGCGAGATCTCGCTGTGGGGCTTCGGTGGCGAAGTGATTTGCGCACTTGCCTTTCACCTCCAAGGCCACAGGTTCACGCTTCAATGAGAACTTTCTCAATGCGACCGGAACCCAGTCCTCATGTGAAAAGAGTAAAAAGTCAACGCTCTGCCGATAGTCGTGGGCTTGCCCGGTTGCAAAGATCTCGCTTGAAGGAGGGGAGATTTCGCTTACCGGGATCGAAATTTCTCCATATTAACACCCGCAAGCGGGCTAGCCCGGTTGCAGGAATTGAAAGTTCAAGGATATCGCCGCAAGCTATTTTTTCAGAACTGTCAAAACAATGTCAAAACAACAAAATTGTCCCGGCAGCGGGATGAAATTTTGCAGCCATTTTTAGCTGTCCATATATGTAAACATTTACATAGTGCGCGAAGCATCACGGTCGACTGTGATTCTTTAAAGTAAATTCTTCCCGCATCCTACACAAAATAGCATCCTTAGGAAAGGCATTATATTACTTGTCTGGCTGTGTATAACCTCTGTTGCTACAGTCGGCAACAACACAAGTTCCTTGTGGGATTGGGAAGTTTTCTTCGACATATCTCTCGCTCCTTAACCTGTGATTAGGCCCTGCTCACAGTCTATATTGCTGGGCCCCTCAGCCACGCTTCCATGTACGTGCGACGTAATTATCGGAAAGGTCTATAGGGTGGGGCTACAGACGGTATTTACATTGCCTGGAGTATTCCGACATATTGTATAAATTTTCAACACTATGATTCATGTATACTATTTAAAACATGCGTAGGAGTGTTTCATCGCATTTAAAATACGAGTGCGCAGCACGAGCATTTTAGATATGATAAAACACGAGTATTGAAGTGTTTTGAATAGGTTCAAACACGACTACATTAGTTACTGCTTCATTAGCATTCTTTATATAATGAATATAATTAGGATGGCCTTTTATCTAAAGAATACAAATGAAGATGAGCTTTATCAGGTATAAAGGCTCTTCACGTGACATATTATTTTTGACATGATTTGTCGATAAGCTTATAAGCTTATTAATATTATGAATGTTTGAAATCACAATTAAAAGATTATTTCACATTTTGAGCTACTATATCCGTACCAGCGGTCCATGTACGCAATAGCGGACCAATTTTTTGTGCGAACATTTCTGGTTTGGTATTAAATCCCTGGAGCTGAATCATTTTAAAATTTACAGACGCTTGATAATTCACCGATGTTGTGATTACGTTTTCACAAGTAGAACTGCACTTTTGTACATGTATAACGCACGATCACAAGCCAAATTTTGGATCATATTTTTTGGCACTTCCATGCATGCAGTATACACATTAATAAAATATAATTTTTAATAATTTGACACAAAATAGGAATAGAACGCTGGAACAATTAATCATATTAACTTTAAGTACTATTTAAAAACGAGCAGGAGTGTTTTATTAGGTTTAACGAGCGCGCAGCGCGAGTGGCTTTAGACCTAATAAAACACGACCTGCGAGTTTTTTAAATGGCTTCAAAAACGTTTGCATAATAAGTCAAATCTTAATATAAACATCTTTATATAGTTTGCATAACAATGGTCTTTTGTTAAAGTGTTCTTTAGCTGGTATAAAGACGCGTGCACGTGACTAATTTCTTAGTCAAGATTGGATAATTGCTTCATGAATTATTAATGATTTTTGAAGTTTAATAATTAATAACACTTTTACTAACAGGCAATCAATCAAATAATTGAAATATGATATATGTTTGTTTGTGCGTGCGAAGAAAAGTGAGAACTACTATAACATAATTTATTAGGCTACTTTACCTGCACAAATTACTTTAAAATTATCAAGTATATAATATTTTATTTTCGACTAATTTTTTTGCAGGAATGTTACTGATAAAAACATGTTCAGAGAATTGTACGAATATTTTTGTTCTTCCGTGGTCTACAACTTGCAGCATTTGTATTTCTCGATATAATACAATAGCTCACAACTATATTTATAAAGACCATTGATATAATAACCAGATTTTGCGAAAGACACAATCCCTCTATGATGACCGTCGAATGTCACCGGAACATCCTCATGGTAACAAGACGTGTACGAATTAGGTGCTTCATTAGGTTTGCAACACCACGCTTTCTCAATGTCATTTAGATAATCACCATCTGAATGATAAAGACCAGATAGATAGTACCCTGTGGTACATAAGTTCCAATCATATTTTCTGTAAAACAAAGTAATGCTAAATTACATAAAATTTTAAAAAATGTTTAAAATAGATCACATTCATGTCCAGCAATTACAAGATAGAATTCGGTAGGTTTATAGCTAGCGTCCACCCCAATAGTATTTGTTTACTTGATATCAATCTTTAACTACTCTATGCTTATCATCATACAGAGGATATTATTGGCGGTGGGTAAATTGGCCATGTTCCACCGAAACATTTTGCCGCATGACCAGAATTCCGCGAGATAGCAGCATTTCATATGACGAATACGCAATTACATTGCAATTGGCTGCCAAATAAACCCCTCGGTCAATCACAACAATGGGATTGTGGAACCCGCTCCAGTTATCCAGCATGGTGGAATCGACACATTGAGCAAGTTGCCGAAAACGTTTCGTATATATGTTTTCGTTTCAAGAACGGATTTCTTTCACAAAATAGTTGCAAGAATGCTGTGAAACTATAATAGATTGAAGTTTTTATGGCAAGTTTTACAATATTTCGTAGATTTTTCGATAGTTTTAATCTCTACTGCCATCAGCTAGTTTCCTATCCATATGACATATCTTAACCACTCATGATTAAGCATTTCCACAAAATTTTGAGAAAAATAAAAGATATTCTGCCAAGAGGTTTATGATCATAAACAGTCTTAGAAAAAGGAAATACAAGTACGTGCATGCATGGGCGGGGTAAAATAGACATGCAATAGTAGTTTGGACACGTGAATGTGATATGATGATATGATATGACATCTTTATTTTCACACGAAGTCCATTTCACAATTATAAATATATGCTCTTCCATGGAAACGTGCATTTAACTAATATAAAATATATAAATATAGGAAAGAACAAAACTACTTATAAAAAATATTTACATGCAAAATATGAATTTACGAAATGAGAGACATAAACTCACTGAGAGACTGTGCAGTGGATATTTGGACGAGCATGTTGTTCCACAAAATTGCACCTCTATAACTAAACCTTTTCTTACGATATTCTGACAAGGGTCTAGGAACAAAATATTTATGATTTGCCCCACGTAAGCTGTGCTCGTGTACTGAAGACGTGCAAATGAATTTATTGGTTAATAATTAAATAACTAGGAAAGGCCGTCTTATACATTAATTTCTTAAACTGTAGGGCACGCCTATCTTCTAGATTAGTCCAGTTCAATGATCTTAAAATTTCAGATGCGCGAGTATATAATAATCAGAACCAGTAATGATTCGTCCAACCCTGTATTGCATTCGTTGAAGCTTTTGTCCTAGACTCTTATCCAGATTATCCCAAATAACAATACAGTAGTCAAAATGTGCATATGGCTGAATTAAAGATACTTAGATTATAGCACAAGGGCTATGTAAAAGTGTTACCTATCAAAGCTTGTTGTCCAATCTACTTCCACACATTCACAATTTGTTGGTTTCAAAGCCTTCACAACAACTGGCTCCCTTCAGATCTTGTTTCGTATCATGTCATTGAAATGCATCACGAATAAGATGAATGGCCGGGTTGACGCCGGCCATTCTTGAGTCAAGATATGATCGAAACAGTGGTAGATACAGTGTGGTGGATTCTTGATCTATTTTTTGTATAGTTTACACTCTAAAACAAACGATTTAATCGCTTCAATTTTCTATAGGTGTAAATGTGGAAAATGTTCAGACCAAAACTTGGTTGGCGCACTCGAATTTGGATGTTACCATGAGATCACTGAAGCCATTGGAAAACTGACATTCGACGGGAGCATCGAAAAGATCTCTTGCGTTACATTGCACGAAGACTTCAGTGCTCTGACAAACGAGATTGTATTATCTCAGGTTGGCCCATTGTTGAGAGATCGACAAGGAAAATCGTATCGTTGTCGGTCAGGGACTCCTTACAAAGAGTAAGTGCTTTTAAAAAATATTGCTGCTGCCTGCTGTTATCACTGGACAGTCGATATGCAATGTTGTCTGTTTATATCTATGTTTATCTTATGTAGTGTAATACAGTATGTGTTGACTATACCAAAGCCCATTGGGGATACATGTCATCTCTTAGAAGCATAACATGTGGATGCTTTGCTGGTTATGATGACCTGGCTTTACAAAATTATTAATATGGAAGAAATATACAGTATACTCGCTATACTGTATAGTTTTGCAGGCTCAATGTTTACACGGCACAATGAGGTAACTTGCCCGGCTTAGGAACGCGGCAAGGCAATTTACCTGGTTAATTGTGACATGTACAGGATTAAACACAGTTGCGTATAGCCAGGATCTTATTTTTGAGGGGCAAAACGAACGCTGAAGGCAAGAGACCAGGTTGTGAGGGGCATGAGACCAAGTCGGAGTGAACTTTTCAAGAATTCCGAAGAATATAAAGTACATCATCAATATTTCAACAGATTTTAATAGACCTTTTGAGAAATGGTTTTTGTGGTGATTCGCCGTCACCAAGGGCGGTCACCACCAACAGTGAGGGTTATGGAAACTGATTTGGATGGGACGAGGTATAATACTTATGGTACCGGCAACCAGTATCCAGAAGTGGGATACTGATTATGAGAAGGGGGGGGGGAGGGTTCTAAATTTTAAATCCTGGTGTCACATTTGGATACTGAGAAAATATATAAATTTCAGACCCTGCTATGGTCTAAATTACATTAATTGTAGAAATTTCCGTCTACAAAATTCTTCAATATTGATATTTACCAATTCAACTTATCATGGCATCACTTTAGTAAATAAGCATGACTTACGGTTGGGGGCTTAGAGCTCGACAAATGGACTCTGTAGTTCAGTAGGTTAGAGCACTGCACCGGAATCACACATGGCCTTCAGCCATTGCCTATCCCCCTCTAATATATTATCTCACATAAAAGGTCCCTTTTCAAAAAATGCCCCCTCCCCAGGAAAATCCTTAAAAAAGGCCCTGGCAAAGATGCTGGGTTTACGGTTTCAGGCTAGGACTAGGACTAGGAGTGCCCGCCGAGTTAACCGCCCGGCTGTAGCATTAAGCTACATGTTTGTTTGGAATAAACTAAGGCGGAAATCGCTTGCTACGTCGACCAAAAACATCATTAATATTATGTTAATCATATATCGCTTTGCTCAGCTGTTTATTTCAGGTAGGAATATAACCACTCAGCACAGCAATTTCACATTCGTACTACCCACACTGGTACAGACAGTTTTAGTATAATCATATATCGGACTGATTAACATTGGAAATGTTATGAAAAACTTTAACATAAAGAGGACCTGGAAAAATGCCCGACTTTTAAGCAGAAACTTCCCGACCAAATAGCGACCGACAGGGAGGAAAGGGGGGGGGTGCTCTCATACGCCCATGACTAATTACTAAATTATACACAGACGGTGCAATTATGACTTGCCTTGTTAAATCGGATTGTATTTGGCCACGTTCAACAATTAAGATCCTGTTCACAATTGTATACACGTATAATTTGCAACCGATTTCACTATTTCATTGGTACGTATAAATAGGCTCGATCAATTAATCTGCATTGTAATTTGTATTGCTCTACTGGTAAATCGTAGTTCAAAAGACCATAGTATATATACCTGCCTGAAACTGCTCGGGGCGGTTAATGAACTGATAGACAAGACAGTCAGCGCCTAACATGGCGTAACAAAACAATAGCTAGGGTGGAGGTGCAGAGTGTATTTACATTGCCCGGAGTATTCCGAAGAATTGTATAACTTTAATTAATTAAAAAAACTCATTAATAATTCACGAGGAAAACACAAACTAAGAAAAATCATAAGCGTGTCGAATCTTTATATGAGATAGAGATTTCCCTAGATTTACACAAACTTTAACTTTAATTTTCTCGACTTATACAAGTATAATACAACTCAATTTTTTGAAAATTACTTCGTCAATGAATTTATTAGATCGATCATGTCCAAAGCAATTGAAAACATTCGGCGCAGTGCGTGTATTATCAGACCTAAAGATACTCGGCTTCACCTCGTATCTTTACATGTGATAAAACACTGCTGCTCATGTTGTAAATAGTACTTCCGACACCATTATTTATAACCGGACTCGTGCTATTATGAGGTCTTTCAAAAACTCAAGAGTGCATGTTTTTCCAAATTTCACGAGAAACCATGCTATTATGTACTGTTTAATTAAATTAATAAACGAGCAGGCGTATTTTATTAGGTTTAAAGCCAAAAGCGCGAAGAGGGAGTGGCTTTAGACCTAATAAAACACGTCCTGCGAGTTTATTAAACGGCTTCAAACACGACTACAAATTCAATAGATATACTGCCTTATTAGTATTCTTTATATAAAAAAATACTAATGAAGACACGACTACAATAGATACTGCCTTATTAGTTTTCTTTATATAAAGAATACTAATTAGGAGTGTTTTATCAGGTTTAAAGCTACTGCACGTGCCATATTATGGTTGACCTGATTTGCCAATAAGCTTATGAATTATTAATGATGTTTGAACTATATTTATTACCTTACAGCAAATAATTTAAGTTAACAATTATATATAATATTAACTTTGCGATTGCTACGCAGGAGGAATGTTGTTGATGAAAACATGTTATGGAGGATTGTGCGAATTTTATGATCTTCCAGGTACTACAATTTGCAGCATTTAAATTCTTCAATACAATACAATTTGTCACACGAGGATCTATAAAGACCAGCGATATAATAACTAGCTGTTGTGCATGACACCATTCCTTCTTTATTCCAGTCAAATTCTGACCGAACACTCTCATTGTAACATGACGTGTAGAAATTAGGTGCTTCATGAGGTTTGCAACACCACGCTTTCTCAATGTTGCTTAGATAATGACCATCTGAACGATAAAGGCCAGATAGATAGTACCCCTTGGTACACAAGCTCCAATGATTTTTGCTGCAAAGTAAAATAATTTTAAATCACATAAAATCAAGTCACAATTCATGTCCAGCAATCACAAGTTAGAACTCCGTAGGTTTATGGCCAGCGTAGAGCACAATAATATTTGTTTACTTGATATAATCTTTAAGTATTCTATATATGCTTATCACCAAACGGTATTATTGGTGGTGGGGAAATAATTGTCCATGTTCCACTGGGACAATTTCCTGAATGACTGGAATCTGCGAGACAGCAGCATTTCATATGACGAATACGCATTGTCATTCCAGACATTCCAATTTGGCTACCAAAAAATCCTCGGCCAATGGCAACCAACGAGATTGTGGAACCTGCTTTCTCACGTGTTCCAGTCATTCATCAGAGTGCAGTCGACACATTGAGCATATTACAGAAAAAATTCGTATGTTTTTCGTTTCAAGAAAGGATTTCCTTCACAAAAAGTTGCAGCAAGAATGCTGTGCAACTATCACAGATTGACGTTTGTTTTTATCGTTTAAAATATTTCGTTATATTTCGATAGTTTAAGGTATATAGTGATGTCAAATTTGACAGTTCTCGTATCAATGCTATCATGACCTAGGGACAAAAGAACTAACCACTTCGCAGTGGGTTATGTCGCTCGGTATATAGCGGTAAATCAGAAATGTAAAAATACATTCTTCTCTGGACATTTTTATGTTTTTGCTTTAGTAAAACTTTTAATGTTTGTGGAAAATATTTAGCACGCATAACCTTTGGGCTGCCTATATAGTGCAAGACATCACCAATTTCCCCGAGACAAAGCTTGCATGAAGCGTCGCGTGTGCGACAGGCAAAACAACTAAACAAGGTCATTCGTACATCCTATAATTTGCTTAAGTTTGAATGAACAATCCGCACCAAATCAAATTGCTAATAAAACCTATAGTATGTTTAAGTTTACCGCATTGCTTGTCTTTTAGTCTACACAGTATCAATAAATTTCTTCATTTTTTTGTAAAATGTTTCTAGATTTACCGATTTATACATGTAAAGAAACTTCATCTTGTTCGCTTGTTGCTACGCTACGGCATTGAGTATCAGGAGAGTGTCTTTCGTAATAAAAAGAACTGCTTCCGCTTCAAAATGGTTCAGTTTAAATTAACATTTCAAAGTGAATATAATGAAGTGAAAATTGAACCTCGTGTCGTCCAATTTTGGTCAGAAATCAAATGCTTCGCAGTCGTGCAATTTTGTAGTCATGCGTTTGATTTCAGATCATTTAAATTGCACTCCACTCACTGCAATTACCATTATTTAGTGTTCTATACAGTAGCTGCAAACGTTAATAATTACTAAACTTGTGAACTTACTCCTCGGTTGAGTCGCTGGACCATCAGTCGTTTTCGGTCTAGATTTTGCTATAATTATAAAGAAAGTTATTTAAAATTAAAAATCATGAAAATTATTATCATATATCACCGGAAGGTGGATAGTGCTTTTCACGCAATTTGATCGGTTGCTTGGCTCCGGATATGCTTGCACTATCGTTGTAGTTTAATTAACAAAGCTGCGGTTTCGCCAAACACGACGAAGAAAGCCACAACATTCCATTTACCCGCGTGCAGCGGCCCTAGGGAACTGATAGTGGGCCTGCAAGCAAGGCCCGGTACTTTGTACTTTCCGCGTTCGCCCACGAACGCGGCATTCTGATTGGCTGTTTGTTGTTGGATTCTATAATTAGGTCTGTGATTCATCACAAAGGCTCTCGATAAGCTCAAAATTCGAAAATTGATCACTTTCGATTATAAATGTAACAAGAACAGACTGTTTTTGTTTACGAAATATTTTGAAAACTATGCAAGATATAAACAATCTGTAATAGAGCTTAATTAATATATTGTTTTAAGAGTTCTTTCAAATGAACTAAATAATTTTTTTATTGCCAATACCTTTAATTCTTGCGTTTACCTAATTTACATATTGTTATTTGCTTTTTTTTTACAATAACAATATGCGAATTAGATGTACATTTTGCTATAAAAATGTAAATTTTGCTATAAAGATGTACATTTTGCTATAATCATCAATATATATTTAAAAGCATATTTTTAAAATTTCAAATAGAAAATGAATGGAAGCAAATTGAAGTGATACATAACTGTAATGGAATTTTAAAATTGTGAACCTACTTGTTGGTTGTGTTGTTAGATTATCTGTCTTTTTCGGTGTAGATATTGCTATAAAGAGACGAGTAATATTTGAAATCACAGCTAATAAAATGCATGGTTTGGTGACTCGGCGACACAATACAGCTCATTATCTATGTTTGTGTAGGTTTATGCAAAAATATGGGTCCTATCTCGTGACGTGTATCAGTTTTCGAAATCAACCAATAGTAATGTGTAGATTGACCAATTGTTTCAGTCACGGGTGAACAGTTGAGTTCGAACATTCAGCTATTGGTTGTTTACGGTAAAATACAATACACACGTGACGAGAACGGAACAAGTTTTTGCATAAACGAGGACAATAACATAGATAATTTGTTGTATTGTGCTGTAAGTGAGCTTCCAAATCATGTTAATTTTATTAACTGTGCATTGATTCATTGTGCACTTACTTATTGGTTGAAGTGTCGAACTGTCTGTTCCTTTCGGTACAGTTGTTACTATAATAATCATGCAGAGATGCCGGAACTATGGGTGCAGTGGGTGCAAGTGCACCCCATGCCTTTTGTATTCATAACTTTTTGGGTGCAGTGCGAGTGCAGACTATGGGTGCAACGGGTGCACAAAAGATTTCAAACGAATAGGTTACATTGGAGGAGTTTATTTTGTTTATATATGTTATAAACAATGAACGATTTAGTTTTATAACCTACAGCTAGTAAATGGCCACACAAAACGTTTTTCAGTAGAAGAGAAAGCGAAACGGTTTTCTACTAATTCTGTGTACCTCATTTTAATGTTTGAAATTAATAAAAGGTTGCTTCATTGCTTGTGTTTGATTTTAAATAAGGTTATAAGCGGATAAGTGCCTTTTCGTTTTTGTTTCTGCCCTTTTTAAAAAAAATATGCCCTTTAGATAAGAAATCGCAGCCCTTGCCCTCAGCAACTTTCTGCATCCCTGATAATAATTATTAAGAATTAGAGATAATTTTAAAAAAAACATAAAAGGGATTTGTAAGTCAAAAATTTGAGTGCAATTTTTAAACATTTACTAAGCTTAACCAGGGGCATGCAGTTCCGAAAAATACAACAATCTGCTCTATATAACTGTAGTTGCACCTTTCGCAACTGCTCCTGGTTATTACTAATAAATGTATAAAAATTTCACTTTCCATCTACAAATCCCTTCAACATTATCTCCAAGGCTAAAATGTTCTTTAAACTCGGATTCATCCCGTTTTTAAAATTTAATATTGTTAAAAAGCCTGAAAGGCGGTACGTGGATTTTGTTGAGATGTCTCTCGAAGATCAAAATATCGAGTGTATAAACTTTATACATTTTAGATCTAACGAGGAGCAGCGGCAAAAAACCAGCGGTCCTGGATGCCATTTCGTTACAGCATTCTAACCGACTGCATAAGCTTGAGCTTTTACTGTAAGGTGAACTTATGTAATAATGCAAAGGTGATACTAATGTAGTGAGATTGTGCTCGTGAGCAGTTTGAGCCGGCTGAGTTTTAGTCAGGACTATTTTTATCCCATGTTGTTAGACCGCTGAAATGTAGCCTGTGCACAACACAGACATTTCTAGCTCGCGTTGAAAGATACGATCGCGATTTGAAGCATTTTCGGCTACTTGACTTGTGCGAGTTTGATTAAGTATACAGTTGAAACAAAAACGCAAATCAAAGCCATTAAAACGATTTTTTTAAAACTATTTGCGATTACATGTTGCCCCGACTGTGTCAAGTTTCAGTCTATAGATCAAATAAATAGATAGGCCTGATACAAACCACGTTTTTACAACCGTATTTCGGTGGAAATCTGATTGGTTTATGAGATAAAATATTTTTTAATCTGTCATTTGATTGGTTGGTGCTAATTACATTATACTATTGTCGTTGATATATTTATTGTGTTTCAAAGTTTCCGCCCGTTCCAACCGCGTTCGGAACGCGAACGCGAACTCAGTGTAAAGTTATTTCTTAGCCTACGTAGCAGGCGTTTAAGTACGGGCGGGAGAAGAGAGGGCGTCGTTTGAGGAAACGACAGCCCAAATGGCTGTGACAAAGCAGATTTCGATCCAACTTAATAATGACACAGCACTAACTCATTGATCGTGTAGTTTTTTGACTTGATCTCGTATTGAATTTATCAATGGCGAAACCACGATTACATTAAAATGTTTACAATTTGTTTAAATATTTCAATCCGAATATTACATCGAATAGCTTCGGTAACGGAATGATAAATAAGTGATTTTCTAAACCTAATGTGAAATTTACGAAAACATCTTTCTTTTCGTTTATAATAGAATGAAAAGCCTTTTTCTGATGCGTAGTATTAAAACTTTCAAATTTAAAAATACTACAGACTTGTTGATAATAGCCCATGCATGTGAAAGTCATTGAAGGTCGATCTTCCAATTATCGTTTAGATACGATCCGTTTTAAAAATCTCATCTCGAAAATGAGCAAACTGGGCTTCTGCAAGGATTTTCTTACATGGACACTAAATTATGTCTCACATCGTAAACAGTACGTTCAGATTGATGATATTAGATCGAATACAACGAATGTTAACTTCGGCGTACCACAAGGATCGATATTGGGGCCGGTTTTATTTAATATATACGTTGCCGACCTTCAAGAAATTATCGACGCCAAAAGCCATCAATATGCTGACGACACAACAATTCTATGAGCATGCCAAGGTCAAACATATTCATAGATGTAGAGAAACCATATCTGATTCAATGAAAAAACTCAACGACTGGTCAAATAATAGAAGCCTTGCCTTAAATCATAAGAAGACGAAAGCAATACTTTTCTCAACTCAACAAATGTCAAGAGTCCACCAATTGGAAAATTATGAACCTAGAATATTTGTCAACGAACACGAACTAGAGCGCATAAAGTCATGCAAGTTGCTTGGCGTTCATTTCAACGAACACCTAAAATGGGACAACCATATCCGTCACATAACATCTGCCTGCTACACCACCTTGCAAATATTAAGGAAACTTAAACATCTAGCTTCTTATTACCTTAGAAAGCAGTTAGCTGAAACGCTAATATTATCCAAATTGGATTATGCTGATGGTGTTTTCTATCCACTCCCGCAGTTTCTATCAAGGCGCTTACAGAAAGTTCAATTTGCAACTGCTAGTTTTGTCTTGGGTCGATATGTTAAAGATCAAAAGGATATCCTGGAAGTTGGATGGCTTCCAGTTAACGAAAGAAGAGACCTCAACATCCTGAAATCGAGTTTCAAAGCCATGTACTTCCCAGAGTGGCCAGAGTATCTAAAGCTAGAACGACAAACTTGCGTTCGAGAACTGCGCTCAACCAATGCAGTTAGACTAGTCGTGCCAAAAGAAACTGGAACGTTTCAACATAGTGCTGCGAAACTTTTTAATTCCTTACCGGAGAACATCAGGAATTGTACTAATTACAAAGTATTTTTAAAATTAACTAAAGAACTTTTATTCGAAAGAGCACGCCAAAACTAGTTTTTAATCCGAACATCGATTTTATCTAATTTCAACACTTAAACGTTATAGTTCATAGTTATAGAATATAGTATTTAATTAGTATTTTAACAGGGAAGAGCCATATGTATGGATCTGTTGAATAAATCGTTATTATTATTATTATTATTATTAATTGCGATTGGTCAATCGCCGGGAAGCCGAATGTATAGCGAATGTGAGCAGACGTTAGATGGGGCCTCGGCCACTAACAACGTCGTCTGCGCAAGAGCCAGGAGCCTAAATTAAGACCTACTTGTAGGTATTTTTTGTGTTACTGGAAGAGTGGTGCTTGACGAAACAGCATGTTGAGTTTCCTAAAAATAAATATAATTAAAGAAAATTAATTAAACAATATATTTTACTTAAGTGCTGCTTAAATGCTCAATCTCCCCCCACACTCGCCATGTAACACAGCAGCAGTTTCCCCTGCATGCCCTCATGGTCTACGGAAAAGCCTGCTAAATTTTGTAAATAAAACGGCTTCATACAGTTTTGATTACGTCACGATTAGCCATAAATACAAACATAAACAAATACATAGTTGGAAAATACAAACAAAATGATAAACATCAATTGAACTCATTTTATTATGAAGCCATAATGATTTGAAAAATGGTCCAGTTTTTATACACATTGTTTATAAACAGTCTAAATATATTCTGAAAGTATACTTACTCTTTCGGGTGAAAGTATTATGTAGTAATCAAAATTTTCATTTCTCTTTAAACTCCCTGGATCTTCTTCTGAATCAACAGTTTTGAGTAACTCACAATTTTCTTCTCCTCCAGAAGTTGCGGTTTTTCTGAAGTTAGCTGATCTGCATGATTTATCCTGAAGCACGCACTGCATGATGCAATCCACTCCAGACTCTGCGTGAACATATTTGATCACCTTAGACTCAATGTCCAAACGATAACCTTTCAAATGATAAAATAAGTAGCAGAAAGATTAAAGAAGGCGATCATCCGATTCACGATTTTTATGGTTTCTCATTGATGTTTTTCAAATCCTACTTCTACCGTAACATTCGCCATACTTTTGAGATCAGGCAAGTAACGAGGTTCTCATAATGTCGCGCACACGAACATTGATGGATTTCCAATGCACTAGCTCTCTTTTTCCCAGTGCAAATAACCGGGCGGGAAAAGTACCCTGGCTCTGCTCAGAAAATATGCATATAAAGATATCGACCGTACAATCATTTGAATATGCAAAATGATAAAATAAGCTAGTACAAAAATAATTTAATGACAGTTCTACTGTTCCCATAAGTGAAAAATAAATAAATTATTTATAATTGAATGCAGCTGAATACTTTGACATGCATGTATATGTATACTTTGACATGCATTGTCTAGCGACATGCTAAGATGACGGTGCAATTTATCCAGAAGCAGAACGGGTCACTCAGATGCACTGTCAAAACTCGGAATTGGCTTGATGAATAGCTGGTATAGGTTGATCGCACGTTACGTCAAGGCGACCATGTTAGAGCCGCGATTCATTATCTTTTTTTGGCACCCACATGCATGGCTGCGCTTTATTGTCTTTGAATTCCCAAATGAAATCTTACATGCAGTTTTCAAATCAGTTGCTGGTCATCTAGCCAGGGACAGTAGTTTAGAACCCAATGCTAAATGAACCTGATATAAAGTATACTATATGCATGCCCTTGTAACACGGGCACTTACAGTGTTCTGTCGAAGACCTGCGTAGGAATAGTATGGACCTGTGCATCAAGAATACTACATCCTTTCTTAACACATGCGCAAAGAGTGTTCTATATTTAAGGGCTGCTTACACGATCCCGCTTTGCCAGGACGAGCTAGATGGGAGGCGGAATAATTTTGACGCATTGAAAGAGCAAATTCGCGGTTCACGGTTCAGAAAACTGCATTATTCGTTAGTGATGGATTATAGGTGTAATTGCAAACAAAAGGTTGATTGTTGAATTGTAGCCACACTTATAATTTTTTTGAACTACGAGATCGTCTGGCCAACATTTTATTTCTTTTGACCGCTGGTTGAACTTTCGTTAAGCCTATTAAAATCGTCCCACATTGCATCCTGTGCCGGCTTGCTGGCGTCACTCATGTAAAAATTCCCCAAAGCAGTGTTCCGGGCTCGTCGCGGATAAAACTAAATCGTTGGGCTGGCTACGCCACCGGTTGCCAGTATAAGCTTTATCCCGTTTTGAGTAAATATGAAATTGACACTAGCACTTTGCAAATACCAACATGCAGGAGCGAAACTTCGGTATTATGCCTGAGGGGTGGGGGGCGTGAGCTTCTTTTGCCCGACCAAAAGTGGGTAGCCATGGGGGTATACAGTAATTTGTAAACTTCTCCGCAATATTTTCGTAAATTTACCAAACGTATTCCTAGAACTATTACCTTTCAATCCGAGACAATATAATGTTTTCAAAATTTGCCCTACGTAATTCTACGGATATACCCGACGAGACAGAGTCTGGGGGGGGGGGCGTGTCACAAATCCCCCCCCCCCACTGGTTTCGCCCCTTTATGCCAAAAATGACAGAAAAGCACAGGTCCGATTAAAATAAAAGTCGTATACGCCAAATTTGGAGGTTAAATTTTAGAAACTGGAGCATTGCATTAACCTCTCTATCTAATCACAGGGAATATATGGCGAATATAGTCTTTTTAATTAAACATCTATGCACGTGTGTCAAGCCTTGTCCTCATACAATTTCGTATTCATTTTGTACTAAAATTTAGTTTTAAATATAGCGCCGGTGAAGCCACAGTTTTCAAAATAAGGTCTTCAGAATTTTAGCCTGTTCTTAATTTTGATCTGCTCTTCAAGATACCTGCTGGAACCAAACTTAGCAGTAGTTCATTTACGCCGTTCCTTCGGTCTTAATCACTACTTAAATTTCTACATTAAAAAATGCAATATTAAAAGATACGATATACAGCAATTACACGCGGTGTTTTGTCTGTATACTATATTTTACAAAAAATGTTGCACCTTTTGGCGCTCACATAAATTTCATGTTTTATAAACTTATGTTGAATATGATTCAAATGTTTTTTATAAATCTTGGCAAACTAAACCCATCTTCTTTAGATCCGTCGAAACAAAAATCGAGTCCTTTTCCAAATGACTGCAATTCAATAATAATATGGACCAAAAACTCAAAACGATAGGGCCAAAACGTAGATTCCAGTCAGTGGCGCCGCCAGCTCGATAATTGGGGGGGGGGGACGAATATTCATATGTTTGTGATCACAGACCATAAAAACAATCGATTTCAAAAGAAGTTAATAATGCAGAACACGAAGATATGAATATTCCCCCCCCCCCGCCAATTATCGAGCTGGCGGCGCCACTGAATCCAGTGTTTGCAATTAGGCTCAGGATAAATTTCGTTTGCCATGTTCTGTCGAACAGGTGTCATTTATATTTCCTTTGCTCTTTGGTTAAATTTATTGGTCGTTTTAGTGTATATTAATTTAAATTTCAAACACTCATTATTAATTCATAAGAATTTTTTTAGCTTTAATTAAAGCCTAAGTTTGTTTGTTTGCATACTATGTTGGCGGCTAAAATGTTCGTTATCCAAACACAAAATTATATACTAAAAAGTAAAATGCGTATAAAATTCTTCAGTACTTTTTAGTGTTTTACCGAAATGGCATGTGATAAAAACCGAACATACTTGCAGGTTCGGTGAGTCCGGAATTGGACGCACCCGAACCTGCAACTATGTTTGTTATAAAACCTAATGCATGGTATGCTATTCACTCAAAAATTCTGTTTGAAAGGAAGTCATTTAATAAGAAAAATTACAGCGTATGATAAAGCTGTATTCGCTGGGAGCAAATACTGACATCGCATATGTTATATGTAAAATTGTAAATACCTAAAAATAATTGCGTTTTTACTGAGTTTCCCTTAAATAGATGATTATCATCAAAATAAGGCAAATGGTTAATTGAATAGATTATTATAGCATTAAAATAAGGGTGAGGACATGAAGCGCGCGCTTCGTCGAGAGCAACGTCTGTTCACGGGCCAGGACATGTTGGTTGATGTACATTGTAATATAACTTTATAAGTGCCTCCAAAACGCTGGGAATGCCGTGTCAGTGTACCAAAATTCAAAACAATTCCGGGCAGCATACCTCCGAACCTTCCTAGTTTGGAGTCCTCCCCCCCTCCCCACTTTTTGGGATAGATTGACGCCCAGTACAAGATAAGAGGCGGAATAATCTTGCATGATGTACGGAAATAGATATTTAAGTCCAATTTATGGTTCAGCAAAACTGCATCCATGTTTCTAGTGATACATCACATTATATGAATTTAACAGAACATTTATATACGGTATAGTCTTTATCTTGAAGTTTATGAACTAGGAGATCTTCTCGTCGGCATTTCTGATTCCTTTAATCCTATTAATGATTCACTTCAATATAGTTCCAAATCATCCCTCATTCCATACCCCTTCCCCGCTTGCTGGGATTTTGTACTGTACACGTAAAATAACCAAGCAGTATTTTAAGTTCGTCACAGGCAAAATGATGCCCGCTCTCTCTATAGTGAAGATATATTTTTTAGGCATATATAGTAGCATAGTATTGGTAATTATGTATCGCTGCCGTTATCACAACCGTTGCTCATCTATTTGGTATAGCCAGAACACTATAGATGCATTCAAATTACGCCTGCCACGAATTACAAATCGTATATGTTGCTGGCATAAACTTTATTCCGTTTTCTGTAAATTTGAAATTGACACCAGTGGTCTGTAAATACCAAAAAAATGTCTGAAAGGCGTAGATCAGCTGAGTTAAAAGTACGCCAAATTTGGAGGTTCAATTTTAGAAACACTTGTAGTTGTATGCAATACCTCGCTTCCTGAATGCAGAAAATTTAATAGCAAATATATTAAAATTGTTGCCATGGACGACTATGGATGCTTGTCAAGCTTCGACCTTGTCCAATTTTCCATTCATTTTGCATTAAAATTTGTTTTCAAATTGCGCCAGCAAGGTCACGGATGAAAAAAATTAAGCCTACAAAATGTTGATCTGTTTTTAATTTTCACCAGGGAGGGACCGGTTGTATATAAAAACAGTTAAAGTTAACTATAGCTAGTGGAAAATTCGACTAATACGATTGCGTATCTTAGAATTAACTACAATTTACACCTAGGCTATAACTACAAAACGAATAGCTAAAAATGTAGTTTCGTCTTTTATACAACCAGCTACTGCTCTCAGTTAATATTGATGTTCTTAATTTTTGGCGTGCCAAATTAATATCTATTAAATGTACTCATTTACGACGTTCCTCGGATCTTAACCACTCCGTTATATGTTAAAAGATGCGATAATAATGCAACCATTGTATGCCCCAATTCGTGCTCACATAAATTTCATGTTTAAAAACGTACTTATGTTAATTTAAGGATGAATTGCGAGTTTTTATCAATTTTGGTAAATTAAAGTTTCCAAAACCCACCTTCTTTAGATGCGTCGAAACAAAAATCGAGCCCTTCTCCAAATGACTGCAAATTCAAAAATATCATGAACCAAAAACTCAGAACGATAGGACCAAAACGTAGAATCCAGTGTTTGCAAGCCTCACGATAAATTTCGTTTGCCATGTTCTTTTGAACAGGTGTTATATGTTCCCTTGCAAGTTTTCGGTTAAACTTGCTGTTAGTTTAGTGTATATTAATTCTGATCAATGCCAGACTATAAACAGACAGTATATCGACTTGTTGCAGCATACAGAAAGACTTAATCGTGCATCAGTACGCCGACTGAAATAGATTAAATTTCCAACACTCGAGAATTGTCGGGTGCAGCTGTAACACTGTGTATAGAATGTCATAAATGAAGTGGTTGCATGCATGGCGGTGAAATTAAAGTGTTTATTCTTTTGCAGTATGGCTAAATATTTGTTTATTTTAACAGTTCTCTTTGTATACAATAATTAACAACTGAAACTTATTGCAAAATTTAAGAAATATTGCCTGTTCATATGACCAATTAAAATGAAAAATCGACAACATGTATGTTTTTTGAAGCATCGATACCGACGACCAAATTATTCCAACGTACTTTTCCTCGACAGCTTTTGTTTACTCAGCATTCTTTGAAATAGTCGGAAAATTTGCCCGTGGATAATGTGACCTCTTGTTTAAATTAATATTTTAAAATAAATGCACGGTTTCAGTATTATGCCAATGGCTATAACCGCTTGGCTGCACCAGTGAACTCTATGTGTGTATGAAGTGAGAATTCATGTTCCGAAATTGAAGCCAAACATGGCGGAAATTGAAGTTTTATTGTATTATTGTAGTTTCATGTTCCATGTAGTATTATTGTAGTTTCATGTATTAATTTAAAGTTGCTTTAGCGTAAATGACGGATACGAGACCATCAATTTCAGTTATTAATATCTGATTCAGCCATTTGCCGGATAGCTAAAGTTCTTTCTGCAGATATACAGGGCGTATAGAAAAACGAGATCCAAATTTAGCAGGTTCGTAACCACGTTAGACACCGAGATTATAGATGAAAATTTTGCAGAGAAATTAAATCGGCCAAGTCACATTATTGTACTCATGAACTTGCAGAATTGGGTCAGACTAATCCCCGGAAAACGTGGAAATAAAACAAAAAGTCTTATGGGACACAACAGTTATAACAGGACTGGCATTATAGGCCGTTTCCTGCGTCCCGATATCGTTCACTTTCATTTCACTCATCTTGGAACAGAAATATCTTTACCGGAACTAACACTTTCGAACACGTTGCATGAGTTCAAATCCGAAAAGTTCCCGTCCGTAGACCTGCAGTTTTGTCACAACCTGCAATTTTATCTTCACTAATTTCACGATAAATTTTTTTCATTGTTCAACGACGCGGACCGATGACGACAAACGATTAAGTCACTCAAAAAGACCAATATTTCTATTAACTAGTCTACCTTAAGCTTTTAACAAAAGACCGGTTTTGCTCGAATAATTTTGAGTTAGGTTATATTATGCGTGTTGGACGTAAACAACATATCTCAAACTCATTAATAATTCATGAGTAAATTAGATATTGCTTTATTTCGCTCACATGATAATTAACAATTATTGGATGAGGTTTTTGTGATATGCGGAATTATCAAGGTCGAGGTAAGCGTTATCGACGCTTACCGAGACCTTGATAATTTTGAACTTTGCTCAAGCAGTACACAAATAACGCTTACCGAGACCTTGATAATTTTGCATATCGCAAAAACCGAATTCAATAATTGTTTTATTATACATTTGTTTGTGTTCCAGTCAAAATACAAGAACCTTCCCGCTTCTGTAACTTGTTTTGTATTTATTTGTTCTATTTTCTGTGGCGATTACCGCTTTATCGGCACATATCGCGTTAGGATCCGGTAGAATTTCACTTTCCTTCCTTTATATATGTCAATTTGTAGCAATGAATAGACCTTTCGTTAGATTCTTTGCATAAAAGTTGCGAAACTTAAATCTTATAGCGATATTTGCTGATGAATCGGTTTTAAACCGCCACCTAGTGTGTTCATACTATACAAATTTAAAATTACCGAATACAATCATTTGACGTATTCAATGAAAATTTCACAACTTTTATGCAAAGAATCTAACGAAAGGCGTATCCTATTCTACAAATTGACGTATATAAAGGAACGAAAGGGGAATTCTACTGCTTTTTTTGCCGACAAAAATCCGGCTACAGAAAATAGAACAAATTACAGAAATACAAAACAAGTTACAGAAGCGGAAGTGGGAAGGTTCTTGTATTTTGACTATAAATAGATACCGCTTGCTAATCATCACAGGCTTATTTGCAGATAACTGAGTTATCTGCAAGCAGATAACTGAATTTTCTGTAGGTTGCGTGATTGTGCGATTTAACTGTAAGCTGTTAGCCAATCAAATTGCTTTTACCAACTACAATGTATAATAACACTGGATACCCGATGAAGTACATTGATAGGACTGGATCAAAATTAATTCAGTTCTTGGACTGGATCGAATTAATTATATAAGTTGTGATTTATTCGTATGAGATGTCATTTCAAATCCTCCAATTCGGACTGGACCAGATTCCAAGTCCTCGCATTTTGATCCAATTCTCAGCTTTGCCTCGGACTTGATCAAATTGCTCGGACTGCAAATCTAGCCCGGTCCTCATAGTCGGATTTGAAATATTACATCTTGTCTACAACTTTGGGAAGGTACAGATAAAGCTTTCTGAAAGCCTCAGTTCTGGCTCTATCTCAATAAAATCACAAGGAAGTTAATGATAAGTATTTTGGCTATCTCTCTGGGCTGAGAAATAAGTCTTTTAACGCGATCAAGGTATTTAAAACAAAAGTAACGCGATGCCATGACGGAACGGCAAAGACAACACTAAAATGAAATGTTGTCGATGGGTTGCTGGCAGGCTAGTCCCAGGCTCTCTCTTTCTCTCTCTATTCGCTGCTTTGATATATTTAAATGAGTCTTAAAAGTTTTATGCCTGGGTGTGAAGTGCGGAACGCTTCAGCGAGAGAGCCTAGCAGATTTCGATAAAATGGTCCCTGATTTCAAAAAAGTGGTCCCTGGCCTGGTTACCAAACATTTGTAAATAGAAAATGTTATGGAAATTTTCTTTGCGTTTATAATTAAGTCATTAGTTCTGCTCTACTGTTTAATAAACGATCAAATGTGGTTAGACGTGTAATATATCGCTCCACATTATTCTTAATTTTTTTTTAGTTATTTGCTGGAATACTCTGTGGCAAGTATTGTAATCGAAATGCAAGAACTACGGCTTTGCTGGACGGGTGATTTGGAGAAATTGAAGCTTTTTGTAAGCAAGAATGTTGATTTTGTCGGCGTATGGACTTCACCAGGCAATGATAAAAAAAAATACAGTGATGGTTATAGCTCAATATCCTGGCGCAAATCCAAGAAAGTGTTGGAAATAGAAGGCAGAGACAGGAACCTGATAACAGCTAAGTTGTGTACAATGTTATGTAATGATTTCGATCCTGTACAGTCAAGCAAAAGCGACAACTATTGCGAATTCCCTTCCACAAGCAATGAAATGCTTGTTGAATTGGAGGGCGTTAAACTCGATGTAACAATTACTGAGAAAGATATTCGTGATAACAAACATAGCATTAAAAACGTTGAAGATTGCCTTGATAAAGTAGTTGGTAAATTAAACATTATTAACCAACAGTTCGATGTATTTAGGGCAGAGTTTCAGTTGTTGAAAAACCAACATACGATTCAATATTCGCCTAAAGCTGTCGAATATTCAAATTTGGACAACCAAAACGCCTCCGGATTGCAAAAACGTCATGAGGAAAACAATAACATAATAGGATCGAATCTAAATGATGACATTGTAATGAGTCGTAATGATGCATTACAATCTCTGGCAAATTTGCGGTCTGAGTGCCTTTCCAATGTTTGTTATGATACTCAATTAAAGCGTCTTGAAAGGGAACTGCATGATGAACAAGATAAAACCAAGCAACTTGAATCTGAGCTAACGGTTGCCGAAACAAAAATCTTACAACTCGAACAGGCACTAAACCTACACGAGTTAGAACAAAAGAGTAAAGAAACTGACAATGGGCTTTGTCATGATCATTCCTGCATTATTATGGAGACACTCAGCACTAATTGCATTAGAAATCAACACGCGCCTTCGACTCAAGAGAATACCTGTACTAATAAATATATCACATCTAAAGAATTACCACCTAACCCTCGAATACCACCAAAACAAGTTGATAAGCAGGAGCCTCAAAAACATGCTGGTCAAGTAAGTCAATTCCCAAAATATACGGAAATTTCGGACAAGAACAGCAACGACAATGCAAAACGACACAAACCATCACAACATGAATTAACTAACTGTTATGCCATCCCGACTCGCGTTACCCATAGAACACCATCAAAGAAATCGACGTGGCGACGAAATAAACATGGCGCTAGAATCAACCAGACTGAGGAGGGTTTTCGCAAGGACAAATGGAAAGCCAATATGAGGTTTTTCCAGTATTATTACTAGAACATGATTTTTCCCTACCAGGTCGCCCTACTTCAATTCATCGCGGACAACGTAATTTAAATAATATTATTCAAATTAACATTAATAAAACTGTTATTTCCAATGCTAATGACTATTTCTACGTTCCGAAACTACTATTGACAAATACGATGTCATTAGCTCCCAAAATTGATGAAGTGAGTTGTTTTGTCACAGAAAAGAGTCCTGACCTTGCCTGTATAACGGAAACATGGTTAAACGACCGTATCTCAGATTCCTGCCTCGATATTCCAGGTTACAATTTTGTTCATAAAAACCGCAGTGTGGGTTCCCACGGAGGGGTTGGGGTGTATATCAGGAACACGATATTTTATAAGCCTCTGAATCATCTCCACCATACAGATTACGAAGTTCTGTGGGTCTATTTTCGTCCAAGTAGACTTCCTCGCGGGTTTTCCTGCTTGATACTTGGTGTCGTTTACCATCCACCTAATGCTAATGATGATGAAATGCTCCAATTTCTCTCCACATCACTGATTACTATTGAAAGCACCTATCCTGGCTGTGGGTTTATTCTTGCAGGCGACTTTAATCGGTTAAAATGCAATCGGATATTAACACAGTTCAGTTGCAAACAGATTGTTAACGTTTCCACAAGGGCCAACCAGACTTTGGATCTAATAATAACCAACTTACATTCGTTTTATGATAAGAACTCTGTCGAAAAATTTCCGCCATTTGGTCTTTCAGACCATAATGTTGTGATTGTCAATCCTTGTAAAAGAGAACCCAAGTCATGCAGTAGAAGAATTATCTCTAGGAGAGATTTACGATCTAGTAAAAGGCATGAGCTTGGAAGATACCTTACATCTATCGATTGGTCCTCTCTGAATCATTTTGACACATGCGAAATGAAACTCCAGTATTTTGAAGAGTTAGTACGTCTCGGTATTAGCACCATTATGCCAACAAAGAAAACGGCTTTGCATGTACACGATCCTCCATGGATTACTGCAGAATTTAAAGAGCTTATAAGGAAGCGTCAAGCTGCCTTCTGCAGTGGAAATGCCTTTCAGTTCAAGTATTACCGGAATCGGGTTAACCGCGAGCGAAAGACATGCCGGGCGAAATTCTACTCTTCAAAAGTAAAGAATCTTAAATCGACCAAACCGAAGAGATGGTGGAAGGAGGTGAAGCAGATTGCTGGTATGGTACCTACAACCGGCTCCGATGACCTATGTAGTCAACTTCATTTAGACGATATCGAGAATATGCAACGTCCTGACATTGCGAATTTAATTAATAACGCCTTTTTGGAGCCCATGAACTCCTTCAATCCACTGTCAACCCTTCCCCCCTTTGATAATTATTCCTCTTTTCAAGTAAACGAACTGGAAGTCTTTCATTTATTGAAAGCAATTAATCGTGGAAAGGCGTCAGGTCCTGACGAAATTCCCAATTGGGCTCTTAAGGAATATGCTGAAATCCTCGCACAGCCAGTATGCGCTGTGCTAAACAGCAGCTATGCCGAACAACAACTACCTAAATCTTGGAAGCTTGCCAACATTGTGCCCCTCATAAAAACTAAGCCCGTTAGCGACATTTGTAAGCAGTTACGACCAATTTCACTTACTGCCGCTATTTCGAAAATCGCTGAAGACTGTGTTGTTAAAAAATACATTGCTCCAGCTATCATGAGTATAATCCAAGTCAATATGGAGTAATACCAAGAAGTTCAACTACTCTCGCTGTTATATCTATGATCCATGAATGGTCGCAAGCTACTGATGGCACTGGCTCTGCTGTCAGAGTCATCCTGTTCGATTATAGAAAAGCATTCGACCTTATCGATCATGCTTTACTGGCTGATAAAATTTCCAATTTAGCTATTTCACGTGCGGTTGCTCGCTGGACAATCGATTTTTTGATGAATCGAAAGCAGAGAGTGAAATTATCCAATGACTGTTATTCGGAGTGGGGTGATGTACTTTCCGGTATCCCTCAAGGTACAAAATTAGGGCCCTGGCTATTTTGTTTAATGATAAACGATCTTGATATTTGTGATATATCGAGGTGGAAGTTTGTTGATGACACAACAGTTGCTGAAGTAGTTAGTAAGGACACAGAGAGCCGTGTTCAAGTCGCAGTTGATGTTGTGGAAGATTGGTCGAAGGCAAATGGGCTATCTCTTAACGCTGAGAAATCTAAAGAACTGAGAATCGATTTTAAAAAAATTAAACAACCTTTTGATCCTGTACTGGTGGGTGGAGAAGCATTGCCTATAGTTGAGAGTGCAAAAATATTGGGTCTTGTTATGACAGGCACACTTCAGTGGAAAGATAACATCAGAGAGAGTATAAAGAAAGCTAATAAACGCCTCTATTTTATAGTATTATTGAAACGGGCAGGCGTAAATGTCAAAGATGTTTTGAACTTTTATTGTACAGTGATCAGGCCTGTGCTCGAGTATTGTGCGCAAGCCTTCCATCATTCCATCCCAAAGTATTTGGCAGACGAACTTGAGACTGTCCAGAAACGTGTGCTAAAAATTTTATCTCCTGAAATGACATATTGTGAGGCCCTTGAGTATTATAGACTGCCTACTCTATTTCAAAGAAGAGAGGACATGTGTGACAAACTCTTTACGAGTATCATCAAGGATCCAATGCATAAACTTCATCATCTGCTGCCCCCGAAGAACGAGACTGATTATTCTTTCAGGACGAATCGGTATTTTAATATGTACGTTACACGCACGAACCGCTTTTATAACTCTTTCATCCCTGCTATGTGTAGGAAGTTTGTAGGATAGATTTTATGCTTATTTTAATCGAATTTTGATCGTGGGTGGGTTTTATAATATTGTATTAATAATATATTTATATGTAGTGCATGTGATAATATGTAATCCACGCAATTCAGCTTCTGGCTGCAATGTGGTTTCAATTTAATAATAATAATAATAATAATAAGAATAATAATAATAATAATAATGAAATAGGCTACGTTTCGCTAACATACTGTCAGAATGGATTAACTATGACTCGTGTTTACTAAAATATGAAGCCATATTAAATGATATCTAGAAGCTTGAAAATTATGCCGAGTCTCCGACTAAAAATGTTTTGACAACACAGTCATGTCAGGCAAATATTTCCAATCTCCTCAGATACTTAAAACTGTCAACTAGAAAGCGTAGTTCTGTATACCAATATCATGGTCTGGTGTTGATCACAACTTGCGAGTATATAAACATCATCAACGATTATACAACCATTGCTCAGACTCAGTATCGTAAATTTGTATGTATTTTTTAATTGAGCACATTTTTAATACAGTTTGAATTTGGTTGTGTAGAAATCGAACATGATCAACGAATATTGTCGTATTTATACAAGGTTATTTGTATATATAAATTTTCCGCCATATTAGAAAATACTGAAATCTGCTAGGCGTTCTGAAGCACCTTTAGCGGTGACGTCACACCTAGGTCCCAGTCTCTTACTACATCCACGTTTTTTGTCGCGCTTACTTCAGAACGACTGGGACTAGGCTGGGTTGCTGATAGCAGACTTACGACACAATCACTCTTAAATAATTTTAAATTAAACTAGATCGAACTGAGAATAAATGCCACATCAAAGACAAATGTCAGTGCCAAAGTATAAATGTGCTCTGTAAACTTACGACAAAGTGGAGAAATGTGTGCATGAGCTATTTATTTGGTGAATACAACGTATATGAAAGCCTTCTTTCCAATAATACTTGCTAATCGCACAAAATAACACCAGCTGATATAATAGTTCAAATGCAATGATAAGTTACCTCTTGAATTACGTCTTAAAAACTATGTTGGAAATTTAAATGCTGATCCATTACATAACATTACCGTTTTACATCGTTGTATAAAAAATTTTGATCGCATGTAAGGAATTATTTCTCAGTTCAGAGACATAGCCAAAAGACTTAGCATTAACGTCCTTGTAATTTTATTGAAATAGAGCCAGAACTGAGGATTTCAGAAAGCTTTATCTGTACCTTCCCAAAGTTGTAGACAAGATATGTTGTTTACTTCCAACACGCATAATATTACATAACTCAAAATGATTCGAGCAAAACCGGTCTTTTGTTAAAAGGTAGACTAGTTAATAGAAATATTG